AACCATGGTGCAGCGCTTTATCAAGACATTGTTTAACACAGTTACAGAATGAGAAAATAACGGAACACAGTCAAACAAGGGTAATGTGCAGAGAGGAAATAATATGGAGTTGGTCATTCAAATACTGGAAATATTGAAACTATGTGAGAGGTTCAGGCCGCAGTAGCAGTTTGTTTTTAGAATTACTACTCAAAGGTCAAAGGTAGCCTTGATCCAATTTAAATTAATCAATGTATAATGAGGACAGGAGTGGCAGAGGAGTATGTGAATGCGGTGCATGATGTCCATGGGAATGTAAAAGAGTAACAGGCTTATCTCTGAGCTCTTTTTGGTTTGATGCATTGATGAGGTCAAGGAGCACTTGCAAATCACAAAAAGAAGCAGAACCTCATAGAACCTTCTATGACGTGTACCTAAGAGAAGGCTGGATGATGCTGAGATTCTCATTAATCTTGACAAGGGTAGATATGAATAGCAATGGAGATGCCATATAGTATGAAACAGAGATGATTGATTGTGGTGAAGCACTAGGCTAGGTGGTGCAACAGACAATGTCTGGACAAAAAGGTAAAATAATATACTTTGGCAACCCTCAAAGAGAGCATCAGAAATAAGTAGGGGGCAGTAACTACTTTAAGATGATGTTGCAATCCATGGTTTAAAGATGCTCACTAGAATTTACCACTGTGAATTTTTTAGAAGCAAATCAAAACAATCCTTTGGAAATATATTTATAAAAAGGAATTTTATAAACTTAAAAATGTTTTAATATCTCTTCTGGGATTTTTTTTCTTCTTCTACATTCCTCAGGGTGAACAAGGGATTACTGGCTCTCCTGGTCAGCCTGGACCTTATGGTGCTGATGGTAAGCCTGTGAGTACTACATAGCTCAATATACAAACATACAGTACACAACTGCCAAAACAGCGTCATGTCAGGTTGCTGGGAGCTAACACCCAAACGATGCCTTTGTGCTTGCCTGCTGATTTGTCAGCACGTTCCCTCACCTGTTGATACAGTAGCTCCATATAAAACTAGAGCTCTTTCCAAATTAACAAATAATCAATTGACTGTTTCTGTTAATTTGGTGTCATAATAAGTTGTCCCAAAGCTCCCATGGCCTTGAGTTGTCCAGACAACATGTTGACAATTGAAGGCAACTGACTGACTAACCAAGTGTGTGTTTCTGCATCTTTTTTGGTTGAATCCTAGGGTATCCCTGGGGTTAGAGGAAGTCCTGGGTTGCCAGGTCCACCAGGAATTCAGGTAAAGAACACCAAAACATAATAATATTACTCAAGTTTGAAAAAAAAAGTAAGATGTCCCTTTCTTTTGATATCAGGGACCACGTGGCCAACATGGGTATAAGGGAGAGCAAGGGAGTCCCGGTGTTTCGGTATGAAGGTCAAAAGCAAAAAATATAGTTTAGAGGATGTGTCTCATTTGTAGTTCAGTTTTAAACCAAATGTTAATCTGACAAATTATATTCACATCTTTAGGGTGAAAGAGGGATGCCAGGATTAACAGGACCTCCAGGACTGCTAGGAGAGAAGGTGGGCACATGACCTATATAGTATTACCACTTACAAACACTTTGTATTTTGAAATTTAAAAAACCTAAGGCCTGAGAGCAGCGCAAATTAAATATGTCTAGCGAGGTAAAAACTAGGGACATCAAAAAGTTTTTTGTAATACTAAAAATAAAATTGCTCAATCATGATAATTACAGCCAAAAACAGTGTGCTATTGTGATTAATTCAGTTACCTTCTAAGGAATTATTAATCACTCTAACATTTCCATCATTTTGCAGCCGTGATAAAAAAAACTATCTTTATCTTTTATTTGATTTTTTTGAAGTATATCAGTCTTTCTGGAAATGTAGATTGTGCATTTGTGTTTTTGAATACTGTATAATCTTTGTTACAGCAATCCTGTTTCAGGTGCTTATGTTTTTACTACAAGGAAATGCTGTTCAAGTGGAGGCATTAATCAAGTGTGTTGCTGTGTGGAGTGACCAAAGCTGACAGAAAAAAGTACAAAAATATGTCAAGATAAATCCTCTTTTTATGAGATCTAGTGTAGGGATTAACAGGAAATCCCTGTTAGATACATCAACTTGAACAGTTTAAACACTGCTGCATCAATCACTCTAGAAAACATATGTTATTAATATAATGTCTGATCCCTTAGAGTTTCTATACTTATGGCCAACAGTGCTTTAAAGAAAGGGACATTTGAAAGTTAAAACTGTTAATTTTTGACTGTTGATCTTCAATTTTTTTTTTTAAATCATCTTTGTCCCTTTGGTTTGTGTTTTTTCCCCTTAGCTTGCATTCTGATCCTTGGCCTCATAGCAACAGCACGGTTCCAAAAATGATTCCAGATCCCTGAAAGTCTAATAAACAAATTCCACATCTATATAGAGGACAGAATGTTTGTAACTAGAGGCTCCAACGTGGCTGCCGCGCAAGTCACCTGCGCCAGTAGGCCTTTAGAAGATTTATATATTAGTGAAAAATACGACAGCTCATTTTTGTGTCAGTCAAAGCAGGAAAAATAGAAGGTAGACCACACAATTACTGAACTATGACCGGGACATTGATGTGTGTTTTCTTTTATAGCTAAGGTATATACAAGAGTATGTCAAAAAATCTTAAAACTTCTCAGATTTTAATAACTTGAACAAATTATCACAACAGTCAACCTGAGGTTTTTGACAATTGTAGCATTGCTATGTTGTTTGATCAGATTTTTAACCGTAAAAAAATAAGATCAGTTTTTTTTTATCAAACTTAAAAAGAAATGTAAAATTTTCAACCGTTCTTTCAAGTTTTGATCCACCTGATTTATTCAAAATTGAACTTGATTTCAGTAGAAGCAGAAGCAGATTTTTGACCTGTTCTAACGACATCCCCCAGAATTCTACAAAAAGGGACTTTCCCAATGAAAACACTGCTTGGAGAGGTGTTTAAACTTGAATGGTATGGTAATGGAAATTATTAATGGTAATTAAGCGATATGTAGAACAATAGCTGTTCTTTTCCACGTTAGTCTTCTGGTCAAGTCCCAGTCATAAAAGGTTGATATTTGAAATCTCCCTAATCCAGATTTGTATCCAGAGCACCACCGAAATCTAATTATTTCTTCTTTAGCCAGAGCCGTCCTTCATTTTCATTCTTTTTTTTTTTTGAGTTATGCTTCGCACAGACTGATAGCTGAGCCAAAACATAACCTCCTCTGGCAGGGCTAACAATGCAAAAGCAAAAGCATATGAGCCACAAAGACAAAGCACCATTGAGCTGTAGCTTGTCAGAACCAGACTAAAGGCTAAAGGGGAACAAGTCTCGCTTTGATGTTCATCTGACCAACATTGGGAATAACATTAGATGGAGGAACAGTAAAGTAACGCAGACTCAACCACCACTTCCACAAACCTACGTTGTAATCATGTGGACCACCGGCACCATCTGACAGTTTGCTCCAGACCAGAACAATTCATGCAGTTAGTCATATTTGGAAAAAAAAAAAGAGTTCTCGGCTGGCTGCAGACATGTCTGCACCTGGAGCAAATTCTCCTGTACCATCTGTCCTATTATGAGAAATCCAGTCTCTGCTCTTGGATGTATCAGTTTAACTTTTTTCTAGTGTTTCCTTTGAATTCCTCTGGATTGGTCACATTTTTTTTTTTGTTGGCCAGAAAAACACTCAGAGGGAGAAAAATATAATATGGGACTTAATCGAACAAAGTCATACATCTTTAAATAGGTAACTGTTGTCATGTTTGTTTTCAAAGAAAATGCTGGCATTTGCTTAATTTATTCAGGAGTAACAGAGGATGAAACTGACAATACCATACTACACAGAAATACTGCTTTTAAGGAGGTACCATGAAGGAGAAGAATCAATACTGGTGCCTCCCGTGTGGCAGCCTGTGAGTTGCAAACATGTACTTAATAGCGCCTCCTGTGGCAGCCTGAGGTTGCAAAGAGTCACACTGTAAATTTCCCCATTGTGGGAGGAATTAGGGACTCAATTATATAATTATCTATTATATCTACCTCTCTCCATCAGGGGTCGCCAAGTGATTGCACCGAATGCCCTTCCTAATACAACCCAACCTGAAATATTTTGGGATTAGGTGGTTCACTTACTATAGTCACAGTACAATAAAACTGGTGCTATTATTTACAACAGTGCTAAAACCACCATAAAACTAAATTTTCATTATTATTTAAACTTTTTTCTATCGGTCTGAGGCCCGATGAAGAACCAGTTTTCTTCAGCCAGCAGCCAGAGAAACTTTTGTTCGTACTTTAGGGAATTTTCGTCCTGTAAAGTCAAAGATTTTCATTGGACACAATCTTACAAGCTACTAAACTACTTCCACAAATCGTTCTCATATTGTAAGACCACCAAAAGCCCTAGTCTCATTTTCCTGGCAAGGGAGACAAAGAATGGAAACATATGCAGTCAGCAAAATTAAGCCTTAAAGTGTATAATTTGGGAAAACCAAAAAAAAAAAAGAGATACAGTTGACCACTGTACTTTGAAAAAAGATTGGTCGTTTGTATTTTCACCATCTGTGTTTAATTAACCAATCGTTACCAGTCTTCATTTGATCTCTACGGCCTATTAAGACTGAAGCTAGCGCAGCGTGAGCAGTGAAAACATGACATCTGACTACTAAACTCAGCCACTGCCCACCTACTCGTGTGAGCAGCACCCAGCAGAGTTTTATGATCCATGTTCTCTGGTCCTAGAAAAAGAGTCCAACAAAAACACGGAAACTCACTGCAGCGTGACAGCAAATAAAGCTCACACACCACCAGTTGGCTTCTAGGCTCGTTCCTTTACTGTCCTCCAGACAGACTGCAGCATCACAAATGCATTTCCACACCAACACCAAAACCTGTGTGAAGTGTCCAATTAACCTAACAGCATGTTAAGTCTGTTTAAATAGAACATGGTCAATCATTGGTAAATTATATTCAATTACTAATGAAAAACACAGTAATATATAATTATCTAATACAGGCATGGACAAACTAAAGACCGGGGGCCGGATGTGGCCTGTTCAGCTTTTTAATCCCGCCCGCCAAACCTTTCCAAATTATATAATTTATTTATATTATCATTATACTTCTGCTTTTTCCCTGCAATACCAATGTTTGCCCAATAGATGTCATAGAAAATGGTAAAAGCATTTTAGCATTATAGCTCTTATGCATGACTTCTTCCAACTGTTGTTTTAACTCTCCTCAGGGCTCCATGGGATTCCCAGGGACTGCAGGGTTACCAGGAAAACCTGGCCAAGTGGTAGGACCATAGATACACATTTAACCTTACCGTATAAAGAACCTGACACAATCAAATACAACATTTAACTCACACTTGAGTGTTATCACCAGGGTGAAAAGGGAAGAATGGGGCCTCCTGGACTACGCGGTTATTCGGGCCAACCTGTACGTATGACGTAGTAGAAATCCAAATGCCTGGTTTTCGATTATTTTCAATATAAATCTGTGCGTCTCTGATTTCAGGGTCTCCTGGGGAGAGATGGAAAAAATGGACTTCCAGGAAGTCCCGGCCAAAAGGTCTGATTTGAACAATGCATGCACACAGACACAGAGTTAACACACTTTTCACAGAGATGTGAATAATGTGTTTATCTGCGGTGAAAACACCCTGTGTCGTACAGTGACGCTGTTGTCTGCTTTCAATTTATTTTGTCCTCATTAACTCATATATTTCAGACGATTATTTATTTCATCAACACAATTTTGCCTGTAAATCACGGACGGTATTTCTTCCGATACATAAGCAGGACTTGCTCAAGATGTTTTATCTGTCGTTCAAAGAAGAAACCTTCTGACCTGAAGCACGGAGAAACTCAAACCTGTTCTGTTGCTTACTTTAAAAACTTCTGATGACAGAAATAGCCTGAATGACGGAGCATCTTCACAGATGTTGTTGTAATTTCATTTTCCCTCTGTTTTCCGCTGCGATAAGGGAGAAGCTGGTGCCAGTGGCATTTCTGGTTCTGATGGAAGAGCAGGCCATCCTGTGAGTTGTGATTTCACTCAGTGTGTTTTTTTCTCTCTTATTATTCCTGTGCATCTCCACATGGATTCTTAGAAATAGGCCATTTTAATGGTAAATGTGACACAAATGGTCCATGAAGGAAACACGAAATAGACAGTTGCACCAGGTTAGAGTTCAGCTTTTGGAAACTTAGACCAGGAACTTTGTGTTTGGTCCTCTGCACTAAGCCTCACCAAAGGCTGTGCTGTGTTAACATGCAGCAAGGCTGCAACGTGCTCACTGCGTGTGACTTCTGTCAGCAGTACAGAGAGTACCACCAACAAGCAGTAAATTAGGGGTATTTCCCCTGCAGTTCATCCCAGGATAACCCTCTTATGTAACAAACAGGCCGGAGCCATAATCTTAGGCAGTGAAAGTAACTCATCCAGGGAATTCTGTGGTGCTCTTGCAAATCTGCTTGAGGAAGAAACTATTTCAACTGGGCAGCCACCTCAGGGATCATCATTGTAAATGTCGTCCAAAAGAAAGCGATGGGCCCACAAAGATGAGTCAGTCGCTCCGCATGGCTGTAAGTCATATTCCCTCCACACCAGAACAACAGCCAGTGCTTCAGCGTAGCTTCAAACGGACTTCAGATGGGTTTTTTTGTCCTATAGGTTGAGTCTAACTGTCTGGGTGGTTTTGTCTAAAGTCCTGTTTCACTGTCTGTGAGTCTGTTCCATTCACTTGGCAAATCTTAGTCCAGGTTTTTTTTGTCGGGTAAATACTAAGCATCTGTGTTTATCTCAGTGGAAAAGGACTATGTTTATTTGCCTTAAACAAATTAAATGTTAGCTGAAGTAAAACAGTTCCTTTTTTCCATGTCAAATTTTTAAAAATCATGTTTTGGTGTATTTTTCATTTGAAAAATAAATAAATAAATAAACACTATTTTAGTGGTTCCATAGTGTAGCAGTTAGCATCCCTGCCTAACAAGCAGAAAGTCGTGGGTTTGATTTCCAAAGGAGCCACATGTAAATTTCACAGTTGTAGGATGAATAAGAGACTAAATTATAATTTTAATATATTTGTTTGTTTCTTGCTCTCAAGGGTGAACCTGGATTACCAGGACCTTCAGGTCTTGATGGACAAAAGGTTGGACAACTTTATATACAGTACATAAACATACTGTATAATATCTTTTTGGGCATCCTACGTGGAAGTTTAATACAGTCCCATGTTTGTCATTGTAGGGAGAATCAGGTTTGCCCGGGCCAAAGGGCTTTAAAGGATCACCTGGACAATCTGTAGGTTCACAGCTACTGCTCAACGTGTGACTAAAACACAAATCTGTTCAGTTTTCAAAAAAGCTTTTTCTACTCTCTCAGGGTGAGGCTGGTTTACCTGGTTTACCTGGTATGATGGGATCAATCGGACCAAAGGTAATTGTCTATATTTATCTGGCATTAATAGATTTCTCTTATCTATCTGAAATAACAAAACTGCTAAGACAAGGGTAAAAGTTGCAAAGTGGTGTCCATACAACTGAAACGTTTTATTGCACTCGTTACAAAGAATAAACTGTGCACTAAGAACAATCCCTAGAGCTGGTGAGCACATTACATCAAACTGGGACAGAAAAAAATGCAATTCTGAAGCTCTGTCTACGTGGGCTGCAAGCCGAACGCTGCAGCTTTTAGCAAAATGTTACTAACTGTGCAATACATGACAATCAGCTGTTAACACGTATGGATTTTAATCTCAATCTGAATTATATTACAGTCTGTGTCGTCAAAGTCTACATGAACTCCTGTGTTTTTTTTTTGTTTTTTTTTACTTGGTCTGAAAGAACACGAAATCATAGAAAGCTGTTTGAGTCAGCAGCCTTACATGTTTCTTTGGATCTGTGTTTTTCTAAAATAAACTTGAGTACAAGTAATGACCTCTTGGCTGCAGTAACGCTGCTAAATTAAGCAATGATCCAGTCCTGCTGCTTTCGTCAGTGGAATTTCTGTGGAAATGTAAGCAGTCTGGCCGTGTCTGGTTTGGACGTACTGTCTCCTAATCACTATTCATTTGTTGATCTGCGTGTTATAAGCCAGTGAGCGTGGGTACATGGCACCAGTGTGAATGGACACACAGGCAATACTGTACTATTAGGGCTGGTCCCTGTCCTTGCAGCACCTACATACCTATTGTGCAGTGTACAATGTGTCAATAGTAGGAACAGTTTTAAAAAACCAAAATCTCCTTATTTATTCTATTTCATTGTTATTTTTTTCTGCAACTTTTCCCTTCAAGGGGAGCAAGGGGGAAAGAGGAAGTCCTGGTTTACAAGGAACGCAGGGCTCTGCGGTATGTTTACAAATGAATATGAAAACTTTGTCACTGACATCGACTTTCAATAAATACATTAATTGAACAGAAAATGTTTTATTTTTTCAAAGGGGACTCCAGGACAACCAGGAACTTCGGGTCAGCCCGGTCATCCTGGCATGCCTGGCCTGAAGGGCATCAAGGTGGTTTTCTCTTTGTCTGTTTTAGGGTTGGTTTTTATCGTGTGGTTTGTTAAATTATGTCTCTATCGTTTACCAGGGTCTGAGGGGAAATTCAGGTGAAAGAGGAGAGATGGTAAGACTCTGTAATCAGACCTTAATTAGTCACACACACACATGTGCTCCAGCACCCTCCCTGACCTCTATGAGTGCTAAGAGGTTGAGAGCCCCTCTCTAACTGTACATCACCACAGTGGTTTCCAATCATGTCCTGTAGCAGACTAATTTAGCCTCTCCAAGTTGACACATTCACAGACATTCCTGGAAAACTCCACTGAACTGTTTAAGCACTGTAATTCCTAAATAACTGCTATCCTTATTCTTCTTCTTTCTTCTTTTTCTTTCGGCTTTGTCTCTTTTTTCAGGTTTAGGAAATAAAATCATAAACCAGTGCCAGCTGTGGAGCAGTTCAAAATAGACTATCCAAACTGAATTTTATTTGACATGCTCCACCTGCCTACAATGACTTGGCGCCCCCTAGGGGGAGGTCACCCCCTACCTTAGGAACTACACTACATTAACATGACCTCGGCTATAATAGTGAGTGTAAAAGCCATGATGTAAAGATAATCAAAGCTGCAATTAAACCATATTTAGAAATATTATCTTATAAATATATTTTATATACACAAATAAATAACATTTTATCTGGAGTTTCTTTTCTTTTTTTAAAAAAGGGTAAGACTTTTTATGAGTTTATGAGTTGTTTGTCTTTTGTGGTTAAATGAAACTGTATTTTTATTAATACTTTCTTCTCAGGGATACAAAGGTGAAAAAGGGGAACCTGGCCGGCAAGGGAATCCTGTAAGTTCTATTTGGATTGCTTTTTTTGATTTCCACATGGATTGCTACTCTGTATCTCTTTTAAAATGTTTATTGTGTCTTTCGTAGCACTTTGTTACATATTTATGTTTTTTTTAAGTATGATTTTCATATTGATGAATTGCTGCAGCTAAGAAGTAAATACAACGGATATATTAATGGTCAGTCATCATCATTCACTAATCTCTTCTTCCCTTGTTTTGTTAACTTTGATTGACAGGGCTCCATCGGCTCAGTGGGACCAAAAGGAGAGGTTTGTGAAGCCGGATGCATTTTTCCTATCTTTGGGTTGTATTATTGCCGCTCTTATTGACACAGATTTTGTATTTTTGCCAGAAAGGGACAGCAGGAGACCCCGGCCAGAGAGGTCAAGATGGCCAAAGGGGCAGCCCTGGACAGCCAGGTCATTCAGGCCAACCTGGCCCGAGGGGACTACAGGGGGACACCGGTCTACCGGGGCCACCTGGTCTACCAGGAATGGAAAGCAGATCTGTATGTGTGACACAACATGTGTGTCAAATACACAGTTAGAGACTTGGTTGGCTTGTGGTGTCTAATACATGAAAATGATTATTGGTATGTTTCAGATGACTGACCTGCCTGACAGTCACATTCGACAAATCTGCATGGACATTCTGCGAGGCGAGTGTCACCAGGAACAAATTTAGGATTTTAACTTGTTTTGCAAAATTTGATTTTTTTTTTTTTTTGTAAATTGCAGCTGAGCTACCTGTGCTGTTACTGAACAACCAGCAGACTAGCTGCTCAAGATGCCAAAGCCGGCCTGGCTCTCCCGGTCCTCCAGGTCCACCTGGACCTCTTGGACAAAGGGGTCTTCCTGGACTCAGTGGGTCTAGAGGTCAGCCTGGTCTTCCAGGTCGGCCAGGTCATCCTGGCATTATTGGGCTCAAAGGTAGTTAGCAGTAAGAAGGGAATAATATGTTGTATATCTACAGTATGGGTCTCTTTAAAAAGGACAGTTGTGTTTGCAGGAGAACCAGGTTTCAAAGGTGAGAAGGGCAGTCCTGGTCGAAATAAGATTGGAGACCCAGGCCCACCTGGGCCACCAGGTACAGTGTATAATTGGACCAATGATTTAATGTATAGTTGTGTATTAATATTGAATCATGTTGCACAGATGGTTCACACTTATTTTAACTAGATCCCTTGCACTCAATGTAACACTGTCCAGTCTCTGCAATGTCTCTCTTCATTCGTGTGTAAAACTTCTTTCGGACTGATTGTTTTAAACACCACAGGTCCAGTGGGTCCACAGGGATACAGCCAACCTGGTCCTCCAGGTAAGCCAGGATCTCCAGGTCTAAACGGAGCAGAAGGTAAAAGTGGTAACCCTGGCATCCCTGGGTCGCCTGGGGTGTGTGATCCCTCCATGTGCTATGGTAGCATGATGAGGCGGGATCCTTACAGCAAAGGACCAGCCTACTGACATGGTAACTGCAGGCACCATCACCAGAGTTGATGTGGATCAAACAGCCATTCTCAGGAAAATCTCATCTTTACAGTTTCTGTCATGGGAACAAAACGGACCTCTTGTGACACCTTCTAAGTGATTTTAGACAGACGACGAACTTCGTATCACAATTTGTCCAATAGTTTTTTGTTTTATTGTTTTTGTTTGAATTACAGCTTTGAACGAACCTAATTAAATGCTTAACAAAAGTGACTCCCCTTCAAACCTGCCCTCTGATATGCCTGGACTCATATAAATCGGTTTGGCTATAAGTTTGACCATAATACCCCCTAGTGTTTGTTGTATGTTACTGCCTAAAAGTTCACAGGAAATGAAGACGGTGCTATGAAAACAGTGTCATGAAAACATCAACCATGTATAACTTTCGCGTTCGTTAATTTTAACCTAACAACTTCAGAAATCACAATGTTTAAACGTTAAACTGTGAGTTTGATTTCCTGTGGCTGATTACGTGCTGCTGTAAGCCTGTGTTTTTCTAATTAAACCTTTAACTCTTTACGAAAGACTTTTATACAAGTTAATACTGCTAACATGTTTTTTCTTCCCTTATTTGAAATTCATCCATGTGTTATTTTATTTTAGTCATAAAATATGATGTTTGATGTTTTACGTTCCTTAGGCAAACTTTTCATTACTGTAGCAAGTCATTTTGTTGTTATTTAAAAAAAGTTCAACTGTATTTCATCAGACATGCCATGTTAAGTAACTTTATATATTTTTCTGTGTGTTAAGCTTTTTTGAATGCCTTTTTGTGTACGATTCTTGTATAAAAAAACCGACTTGGATAATCCTCGACTTTGGAATCTAAGTTTCCGGTTTATTTCAATGTTTGCATTGTTGGTGTTTTGCTTCTGGACATTTTTTATTTGTTTTTGTACAACATAACTTAACTATGGATGTTCAAGGTAATAAAACAAAATGTTGCCTGGGTCGGTTTAGACCCAGAAGCACGTTTTGGTTTCGAAAAAAACGAACAAGAGCAGACGTTAGATGTGGCGACTATACTATAGGATGAAGTACTGATGCGAACTACTCCAGAGGATGAAGATGAGGAAGATGCTCGGACAGCGTCGGGGTCGTCAGTGTTTGAACAAGAGAACCGAGAGAAGAGTGACAGGAGCAGAGGTGAGAGAGAAAAAAGACTCGAGAAAAAGTGGTGCGGAGTGACACAAGCAACGGTTCTCTTGTTAACGGGAGAGGGGTATAAATATACGTTTGTCATGCATATTTGAAGTTAAAGTTCGAGAATATATTTATTTGAGAAATGCTCTACTAAGAATTGAAGAAAACAATGATAAAAAAAAGTATTGTAATCACCACTGAATTTAGAGTGCATAATTGACGTATTACTGCCTGTTGTCGGACTGGGAGGAAACGGGTTACTCGAGAAGCACGCACCTACTGCCACCTTGTGGCTTGTAAACATAAGCGCTTGGGAAACTGAGCTACTGTTTACTACTGAATGTCCACCGCTGCTAGTTTTATCTGGCTTCCTCCCAATTCCTCCGTGTTCTTTTATTTGTTTAGTTTTAACGCAACACTATCATCTATCGGTATCACAGAGAATATCAGCACTGTGTTACTGCAGACAGAAACAGTTGTTTTTGTGCCATAACATGGCGGAGGGGATTGTGTTTATTCGATATGATTTTATTGTTTATTTTAAGGGTACATTTCATCCGTATTTTTCTTCTATGGATATGGATATAATAGAGTGATATAGGTGAAAACAAAATAGGACTTACAATGACGTATTTACAATTTGCCCACTAGATGCCGCTTTGTAGCTGTGCACGTCATGTCCAGGAATTCTGAGCTCCCTTTTCCCCTCTGGTCAGCAGCCATCCATCATATGGAAAAGTGTAACTATTAATGTTTTTCATTACAGCAGCTTATACTTAGTTCAGCATACTATTTACTTAATACTCCTCAGAGAACGCAGCCTTATGTATGGAAGCTCTGCCTTAAATTAACCTTTCCTTCTCAAAGCCGTGCAGTCTGGGGAATAGGTTAATATAATTATGGAGATGGAAATCATTTCAGTAGTGGATCTGTGGTCTCCAATGTTTAATTTGTCGAATCATTGCCCATATAAGTGCCAATTATTTTATATATTTTGGCTAAAAAATACATCATCTTGATGCACCTCTCAAACCTTTTTTTTAACTTTATCTTTTAATATCAGGCCAAAAATAAAACGTATATGTGTCTTTGTTGTGGTGGGTGAATGCAGCTGCAGCCTCCTGATCCCTATAAACACGTTGGACTTCAATAAGTTCAGGTGATTAAAAGCCTCTGTCATTATTCTCTCACTCGTTAAGACGGCCTCTCGGATTTCAAGTGTCTCCTTTTACACTCGGGAGCCCTGCACATTCATCATAGTACCGGGCTGAAGTTTTATTGCTGCCTCTAGAGGTGGATGCAAAAACAAAAGTTGAGTGTGGGAGTGAGTGGGATGGACTCGGAGGGCAGCTCGCCCCCGGTTTACGCACTCTCTCACTGGGGAAAACAGAGGAAAAGCCAGGGAATGAGTGGAGAACACATTTCACGCACTTCATTCACTTGAAACTCCGAGTTATCCCACATTGCTCTGGGCGTACCTTCGCGTTTTTTCACCACAGTGAAGGAAGGTGAGTGACGGGGGTCACAGCTCCATAAATACTTGGAGTGACACAGGGCTGTGAATGGACCGTAAAGGAGCGCGCACTGTTGGAGGAAACTGACGCACAAGAAAGGGGCGCAGAGGTGACTCTACTGCAGGCTGGTGCTTTAAAGAACAATTCAAACAATAATTGGACCAAAGCTCCTCAAATGCCACCCTGACGCATATGGTTAATATGGAGAGTCTATGAGGAAGCATTGGCGACAAGATAAATCACCTACATTTTTTCTAATTTATTTTTTGCCAGATTGCGATGTAGTTCAACTTCTCAGCCCAGAGTGAGCCATTTGTCAAGATGACAGCGCGTACACCTTTGAACCGTGCTGTTCTCGGACTGGCGTGGAGCTGCTTGAGCTTTCTATGCTGCGCTCATTGCGGCTCGTTGAGCGACAACCATGTGCACTCCAGTTTTATTTACAGGAGATTGCGCAATCACGAGCGTCGGGAGATCCAGAGAGAGATCCTCTCCATCCTGGGCCTTCCTCACCGTCCCAGACCCTTCTCTCCCGGGAAGCAGGCGTCCTCCGCGCCGCTCTTCATGCTTGACCTGTACAACGCGATGGCCGTGGAGGAAGAGGAGGAGAGGGCGCAGCAGAGCGCGGCAAGGAGCCACAGTGCCAAGGCTCAAGGGCACTCCAGGAAAAGTTATTACAGTGCCCAGCATGTCGGGTACAGCCGTGTCGCACAGCCCTACCGAGCGGCCCCTCTGTTAGGCCACAGCCCTGCACTGACCACAGCACAGGACACCAACTTTCTTAATGACGCTGACATGGTCATGAGTTTTGTCAATTTAGGTAAGTTTGTATGTTTGTTTTTTGTTTGTTTGTTTGTTTGTTTTATTTTTCTGAAATTATCACTTCGTTAGCAGTAAAACAATTCATTTTTCTTATTTGTTTTGACGTTTTAAAATCAGATTTTTATCTTTTAGTTTAAAATGTGTATTTTATTTACTTTTTAAAATTTCTAAATTCAGCATCTTTTATGTTATTTTTTCTGACAGGTAATATGAAGCTGATTCAATGTGTAAGCCAACTTAAAAGAATTTTAGGAAATGTATAAAGTATATTGCTGGATCTGTTGTACCATTATTGACAGATCAAGACATCAAATTAAAGGATCAGTTTTGACATGCTAATTTCATTAATATTGACAAAAACTATTTAGCAAACATACGATAATCTTTCTGCTTCTATGCTTCTATTCGCAGCCATATCCTCACCAAATAATTTGTTTATTTAAACTAAAAAAAAGGTTTTCTACTAAGCATATTTATTTAAGTACTAGACACTGTCCGCGCTGCGTTTACTGCTTCAGGACTGTGTGCAATGTTCTCCGTTTTACACTCCAGACAATTTGACTCTATTGATTAGTGCTGTTCCATGTTAAGAAGCAGCTGATCGGCGTAATGATTGTGTTTGTTCAGTAGCCATGACCTTTAACCCTGCACTTCAGAGAAACTTATCAGATGACTGTCTGACCTTGGGGAAAATTGGTCTTAATCATTTCCTGTTGTTAAAAGGGGAGTGATATTGACTGATGCCTGTGTTCCTCCCCAGTTGAAGTGACTTTGAGAAGAAGCAGTAACTCTATATGTTATTGAAAGCAGTTATTGAGGATTAAATTATGAAGCACGCCACATGGAAACTTGTACTCTGAGGTCTAATTTGCAGAGTTGCAGTACACGCAGAATTCCGAATGAATGAATAAAAAAACATGCCATACATCATAATATTGGCTCTGTATTGTGGAAGGGCTGTATTTTCTTAAGTATATAAAACATGCAAAAGGTGAATGTGTGCAAAGTTTTTCTGGGAGTATAATCCCTCACCTTGGCCTGAGCCCATCTGTTTCCACTTAGCAGTGTACCAGTGCATGTACACTGTCAGCCTTCAGAGCTCTGTTCTCCTTCTGGGGACTGTCAGTGAAGTGTTCAATGGGGCTCTGTCTTTGGTACTGTACGCTCCAGCACGGCTACTGAGCTCAGCTGCTTTGGAGCATGTGTGTTAAACCTCATGCTGCTTAATAATCCTGCTAATAACTATTAATCAGACGTCAAGCAGCCTTAGCTAAACTTCTGATACGTAATACGGACTGTAAAGAAACAAGTGAAAATACGGAAAAGACAACACGTCTATTCTGCGCCCAGCCTTCACACACCTTCAGCAGCGTGAGTGAGATCATCGCTGTTATTAAACCTCCAGCTCTTTGAAAGTTAAATGCTCCATGTTCTCAGTGGCACTTCTGCTTCAGATTACTGCCTGTGGCTCATATAATGGAACACGCTCAGTGGGTAAAAAGTCAGGCCTGAACTCTGACCTCTCGGTGCTAAGTAACCGCAGGCCTGCTCTGATGATAAAAGTATCAGGGACAAAGCACAGTATGATAAAAAAGAAAAGTCAATTATCAAAGGCGTGAGATGTTTTTGTCATATTTATAGGAATCTGTGTCGCCGTTTGCAAAGACTATTCTTGTGTACATTATACTTAGGTTCCTCATTTAAAAAAAATAGTATTCAGTATTATGTGACCATAAGAAAAGGTTTTGATCACATGAGTAAATACTTACATTTACTATAAGTGCATATCAGTAAAAATAAGTACTCCACTGCCATATTGGGTGAAATCTATAGGGAGGTCATCAACAGGTCAGAGAAAAGGTCAGGGCAGCGGCCTATATGACATTAAAGAATCCTCTTTGGCGTCGTCTCTCACTTGAGGATCAGGCCAGAGTGTCTTTAATTGAAATCAGCCTGTTTTTCCTAACTGACAGCCCATTCATCATGGCCAGAGAATGCTGTTAGGCACACAGTGGAGGGCCTGTCTGAGGGCTGCTACCTGTATTCAGTTGACTGATTTAATGAACTGGAAAGTACTTTTGTTGGTAGTCAAAATGTTTGGTTTGGAGCGGGAATGTAAAAGAAGATGTCATAAATTACCTGCGTTCATGCTGCCATATGTTTTCTTAAGTTTGGTTTAAGCTGGCAGTAAAAAACGAAACTCATTCCAAAAATATTTTCTTTCACCAGTGGAGAAAGACAAAGATTTTTCTCACCAAAGAAGACACTACAAGGAATTCCGTTTTGATCTGACCCAGATCCCGGATGGTGAGGCGGTGACTGCGGCGGAGTTTCGGATCTATAAAGATCGCAGTCACGCACGCTACGACAACAACACTCTAAAGGTCTCCGTATATCAAGTCATTAAAGAGTATCCAAACAAGTGAGTGCAAAACAACACAAAACTTCATTTGTAGCTGCTCTTATTTTCCTTTTATTTTCTTGTGAGATTTAAATTGATTTTTACACTGCTTGCCATATTAGGTGAAATTACTGTCAGTATGTTTCTAATGGAGATTGTGTGGATACTCAACTATCACTTTATTAAGGTATTATTTTTTATTCTTGTCCGTCGTGCATCACAACTATAGAGACCTTGTGTCACATGTCACAAAACGTGAAGAAAGTCATATTTGTTCACTTGGCCTTTTACATTTTGTTAACTTATTTATGATTTTCCTTAAAAACAAACATTTAAAGAAACTCAAAATTCCACATAATTTTGTGTTTTTATTAACATCACATCATTGAACTGGTTTGAATTCATTGCCACATTTTTGAACTGCTACCTATTTCAAAAGTCATTAATAATTTCAAGTCACTTAACTAGTAAATGTTTACACAAATAGTTTAGAATTGTAATATTGTTTTTGAGAATAAACATATGTCAAGAAAAAGAACTGAGCATCAGTGTAGTTTACGATATAAAGTGTTCCATCTGCTTCTTTGCGTCTGTAAATCAACAGAGGAAACAGACAAAGCTGTTACTTGAGCCTTACTGTAATCTGCCCCCGCCCCTCATTTTAAACACCTACTGTCCTTCACATCTGAATCTTTGCGCTCACACACTGAACGGCCCCCTATCTACGACTCTGTTCTCTTTCATTCTCACCATGTCTGCCATACAAATATAGTCCCCGGATAAAGGGGGAGCCATTAGAGCGTTGGCCACTTATGAACCTTGGAAGGTCCATCAGTTATCACTCGTCTTGTGTTGCCTGCCAAGTTGGCCGGCTCCCAGATGAAACCACGAGGTGGGGGAGGGCCCGTTTGGGTGCTCCCCTGATCACCGTTATACCCACCACCTGCCTGTCTTAACAATATAACGGAAGTTTAAACCGTGACATAGCTGAATACACAGGGGTGTGTTTAAAAAAAGGGCCCGCATTCGCCTCGCCAGAAAATGTGTGTGGGTGATTGAAGGGGAGATATGACCCTCCTGGGCTTTAAAAAGGGCCAAGGCAGTGGACTGTGCCATCTTAAAGGGGAAGAGTGCTGCCGTTTAAGTTTTCACACACGTTTTCCGGAGGAATGGTGTTTTCCTGTCAGTATTAACAAAGAGGAGCCGCGCTCTCCCAGTGCAAGAAACCTAATCGTATTGGAAAGGTTACAGCAGTGTGTAGAACTTAATAAGTTTGTTTTTACAACTTATCTCACCTCTGACACATGCTAATAAAAAGTCAAGACTGATTTTTCAATTTTAAACGAATAAACAAGTTTGGATTAGTATCAGTAAACTTTTATATAATTATTTCTTTAAAATATCTAAAGCACAACTTTAGTGATGGTTGTTAAGGATATGGGTAAAGGACCAGGGTAATAATATTAGAGTAATGTGATTTTTTTTAAAACTTTAAATCAAATAACTATTAATTTAATAACAGTACTAAATTAAATCAACCTTATTTGTTTGGTAAACAACTGTTTTGCCCTCAAACAAATACTTTTTCAAGGTCTAAAAAATATGGCAAATGCATTGTCATCTTTTAAAATGCACAGGGCCAGGCAAGAAGAATTTACCTACAGTTCAGGGTCCTGTTAGAGTCACATGACCTTATTTCACTAAACAGTTCAACCAAGAATAGTGGGACATCCCCTAAAGTTGACTGTGGTACAGGAGAGTGAGTAAAAAGTTTTCAGATTAATTTAATAGAATTTTGTCAGATGTTTTCCCCACAAGGTCACAACCTGCTTATGAACGTAAATAAAAAAAGATATATCTGAAATTAATACATATATATATGAAAATCAGGAATTCCTCGTGCACCTCAGGTTGAACTTTACTACACCTGTAATAAACACAAGTTCCTGTTCCCTCCAAATAGTACATAAAAGACCGAAGCCACGTGGCACATCTTTGTTCTGTTCTACCAACACCACCTGACCACAAACACAACGACAAGCCTCAACCGCTCTGCAGCCTGAAAGGAATTCACTACAAATTGTGATGCGGGATTTTTTTTTTTTTTTTTTTACCTTTGGGCTGATTGGTGACTGCTGTCAAAAATACACAGCGTCATTTACAAAAGTAGTCTTCACCACAGAGTCCTGCAGTTTAACCAGGTTTACTGTGTGTTACAATGTGATGCTGTCATAAAAAAATCTTGGATTCAGAATCATACACCTCAGACACCTCACAATTCTGTTGGTTTTGTTTCAGTTTACAGATGCAGTAGAACCTTTTTTTATTATTTATTTATTTATTTAGAGAGCCTGAACTGCAACACACATGTCACTTGTTTATGCATAAACTGTAGAGGAACAACACTAATGTCACCATCTGTTTCACTGACGGATGTAAGAACTCAGTAGAAATATTTAAAAAACCTACATGTAACAACCCAGATTAAAGTCCTGTTAAATTGACTGGGTTGGTGTTGACGCAGCGTGCGTCTGTCTGAGTGTTTACTTCATTACAAACGTTCTCTCTCTCTCTGTACCCACAGAGATGCCGAGACTTTCTTGCTCGGCTCCAGAAATGTCCAGGCCTCTGACGGAGGCTGGCTGGTGTTTGACATCACAGCCACCAGTAACCACTGGGTGATGAACCCACAGCAGAACTTGGGCCTGCAGCTGTGTGTGGAGACTGTGGATGGCAAGTGAAATTCATTTCTTTTTTCTTTTCTTTTTTTTTTACAGTTATTTAATAATCACATCAATACCATGTCCAGTACTCATCCTTCTATCTGTAAACATGTTTTCCGTTGGGCTCACATTTAAGCGTAAATAAAATATTTATTTCCTTAAAATTGTTGTTTTGAAGGTTTTATTCACCTCGTCTTCTCCATAGGACGGAGTATCAACATCAAATCTGCTGGAATCATTGGGAGAAATGGGCCCCAGTCCAAGCAGCCATTCCTGGTAGCTTTTTTCAAGGCCAGTGGGGTATTACTGCGCTCAGTCAGAGCCGCCGGTGGGAAGAAAAAGAGTCACAATCGCAATAAATCTACTAATCAACACGAATCATCAAGAGCACCAAAGTCTGGAGGCATGTGGACTGAACTTTGGTTTTTTTATCATAACTAAAAATCTCTTCATCTAAATCCAGGCATCCAGCTACAGTTTCTCCAAAATTTGCTCAGATTTTCACCTCTAATACAAATCCAAAAAAGTCTATTAGTAAAAACCAACAACTTTAAAATCTTTCCAAAAAAATCTAAATCAAATCATAAGACAAACATTATAGTATTAGCAGAACTAGTGCTACAAAAGATATTGACTTAATCTCAATTTTAATTTATCTTTGTCAAGTTCATCAACAATAACAATTTAAAGGTAATATTTTAGATTTTTATTTGTTGAGGAATAATGAAATTATTATTTTCATTGTAATATTAGTATTTATATTTTGGTGACAAGGTGTCAAAGCACAGAAAATAATACAAAATTATTTGCTGAATATCATTTTTGTTGTTGTTTTTTTCAGATTATAACACAAGTGAGCAGAGACAAGCATGTAAAAAACATGAACTTTACGTCAGTTTTCGAGATCTAGGCTGGCAGGTAAGAGTTTCTTCTCCTTCTTCTTCAAATACCAAAATAATAAATAATAATAATAACAAATAATAGTGAGTATCATCATTTGAATGACTAAATAACTAGTTGAGCAGCTGCCGTTGCTACTGTTAAACTGTTGAAGGATAACAGTTATTTGTATTACAAGAAAAAAAACGAAATTGTATTATTTTGCAAGCATTTCTTTATGTATTATTTCATTATTATTATTATTACTCTTATAACTAATGTACTTAGTATTGGAGGTGAAACTGTTCCCTGTTCTGTGAAGGATTGGATCATTGCACCCGAGGGCTACGCTGCTTTCTATTGTGACGGCGAGTGCTCGTTTCCACTCAACGCGCACATGAATGCAACAAATCATGCGATTGTGCAAACCCTGGTGGGTATCCTTTAATATTAATAGCACTTTCTCATCACCATAAAATTGTGTTTTCAGTTTCTCTAACGTTGTTGCCAGTTGTAATTCATTTAAACACCCACGGCTGTTGCGACCTCCTTTGAAACCTACTTTCTGTTCTTATTTATAGGTGCATTTAATGTTCCCTGACAATGTGCCAAAGCCATGCTGCGCGCCAACCAAGCTCAACGCAATATCAGTGCTTTACTTCGATGACAGCTCCAACGTGATCCTCAAGAAATACAGGAATATGGTGGTCAGGTCTTGTGGATGCCATTAGTGCGTGGACTCACTTTAACTTATAGAATCTGGTCAAACGGGGGAATCGCTGGAAAACACATCTGCGACAGGTGTGATGTTTTGTACATTGTAGTGTATATAAAGTTTTTATTACTTAATTTATTTTTCTCTTTTTTTAATAGCACTGACTATTGTGATATTTAAATGATTAGACAAATATTTTTATTACACATCTCCTCTAACTCTTGCGTCCATTGGCATATACTCAGTTTTTATTTGTATTTACTCTGTTTTCATTTTCTTTTTAAATTATGTTATAGCATTCTAGATGAGCAGTGTTTATTGTCTCTGTCCCCCCAAGTTACTTTAAACCACTTATGCATATAGAGTAGTTTCCATGAGGCAACACAAGCACAACTTGCGCAAGTTGATGGAAACTTTTTTGAATTAAATTAAATCACTGGAAAAAAGCAGTGAGTGTTTTATAATGTCAACCAACCAGCACTGATACAACTTCATTTTTTCCGTGTCAGCTTTTTTCCCCTTTTCCTGTTTTTGTGGATGAGCGTGTCCTCACGAGGGAGTGTTTTTGGAATTTTTGGCTCCAAGTTTGTCAACGTATTAATGGCTGACAATTTATGTCGTTCTTCACACCACCCTGGTCTATCTCTCCGCCCATAAACACCATCGCCTCGTGTCTATGTAAAATAAAAGCTATAAACACTTAGGACTTCTTCCAATTTCTGTTTAAAAGTATACTTTACTCTGGAGTGCAGTGCAGTTCAATAAATTTACCATTTCAAAAAAGCCTCTCCTTTTTCCTCTTCTCGTTATCCCCACATAAAACAGAATTGTCTCGAACCTCTGCAGGTTTCAGATTCACCACCAGCCTTCCTAACAGCCCCGTATTCTTTTGTATTTCTGTCTTATCCACTGTGGACTGCTGCCAGACTACCTTCTAGGATTTATAAATGACTGGCCAGTATGATGTAAACTTAAAGTGCACCCACTGAGCCTGTTGACACGTTCTCAGTAGTGGTACGGTGCTAACACTAAAACATTCGCTGTGACCTCCAACCTGCCCCAGAAGGGTGATAATCACTGGGCTGCCAGCAGAGAAATGTATATCATTTAGTGACCGATCTCTTCCAGATTATGGATGAAAGACGCTCTCCATCGCATAATTTATGGGATACCTACAGTATGGCACCCCCTCCGTGCATTCTTAGCCCTTGTATTTTGAGTTTTGCCATCTGCTCCGAGCAAGGATTCACGACTGGAAACAAAGAGAAGAACATAAATTCAAGTGTTCTTACTCTTCCTACTCACTCAGGATAAGCAGATTTTTTGTTTTTTTCTGTGTGAGTGAGTGAGTAAGAGAGAACGTGCTATTTCCAGAGAACCGCTCCGGTTACGCGCTGATTTTTCGATGGTCTTGGAAATGTTGGGATTAGGTTAAAGATTAATATTTATTTACACAACTGTGCTGGCCTTGGCTGAACACAGGATATGTTCTGTTGCACTCTCTACTCCCACCTTTGCTCTTCATATAACATTTTTTTCTGTGACACGGTCGAACATTGAGTGACTGTATTTCACTTATTAAAAGCAGCGGCCTGCCTGCCCAGATGTTACGCGGCTGCATCTAAAAGGAGTGTTGACATTGGGTGAGTAGAAGCGGCCACCTGCTAACTTAACTCTTGGCTTGAGGGGTGATTTGCATTCCTGTGGCCTGTTGCCTGGCATGATTACTTCTAGCACTTCACAATCCCGTCTACTGTTTAATATCAGCGGCTCCGTCCAATTCAGCCACATTTCGAACGATTCTGTGCGACAGAGTCTCCGCTGAATGAGCTCTTATTCAGCCTTACCGCAGAATTACGCTTCCTTCTCAACAGCAGCCGCCCGACCACATTAGAGCGGATGGGTAACAAAAGCCATACTCAGGGGCAGATTAAAACGTCAGTGCCTTCTCCTTAGACGCTCCTCCAGTCAAACTCAGCCCTGCTGTGGGTCAGAGGTTCTCTCACATTCATCACACTCCAACCTCCAGTAGCTACTTGTAGAACGAAGACGAGTAAAAAGGTGGGACACCCTCACCTTATCTAATTTTCTGATGTATTATTCATTGATTCAGTCACTGGTGTTAAAATGTTATTTGACTAGACTGTAGTAACCTACATAATTCCATAAATTTGATCCCTGCACGGAAACTAACTTCACTTTTATAGTCAGGATGCCTTCTCCTGTGATGAAAGCAGCTTTTTTTTAACTCAAACTTTACTACAAACACGTGTTCACGTTGGTAGTCTTTCAGAATATGTTCTATATCTAAGTAAACATCTTAAGCACTTACAAAAGTATCTGCAGATACGTAAACGATTCACGCTGAACGCCAAACAGCGTGTACCATAAGTATCTGCAGATACGTAAACGATTCACGATGAACGCCAAACTGTAACAATTATGGTACACGCTGACAAATGATTGGTTATATCTGGACTGCAGGAAGGTCAGTCAAATAAATGGGTTTTGGCTACAGGAAATGTTTTTGTCTAAACTTGTTTCCAAAACTCTGTAGGGAAGCCTGACAGAAAACATTTGTGTTTAAAAATCCATTATGTCGTGAACGAAAGTCAAACAAAAATTCTTTTTATTTTTTTCTTCTTCAAACTAAACATTTGCTCACAGTCTCCATAATGTTTTGCCGTAGAGCTACTGTGAATGCACGGCTCCAGTTGACTGTTTGACTTTTCATTAATGTGCACAGTTTATGAGTAAAACACGCTCTCATGTTGGCAGGTGACGGATGTGGAGCTGTGGTCAATGTATTACAAGTGCAAGATGTCATGGTTACCGTGAGTTTCAATTAGTACTTCTATGTTTCATTCATTTATTCTCTGTTAACCAAAGAACCCTTTTTTTCCTTCCATCGCTCAGTTTATTTTCAGAGTCTCACATTACAGGCCATCCAGCTGGCAGAGTGAAATTGTATCTAATAAAAATGTTGTCCAGTTTACCTAATTCATCTCCCCACATATGGTTCTCCTTATTTGTATTCCGTGGGTGGGCTATGATTTCCATACAGCTCAATCAGTCCCTCCTGAACAGGCAGCCCATATGGGTCACATTTTTACATGTTGTTTGGTATGACAAGGCTGCGGCAGCACCGGTGAGGAATGTGTCTTCACTGAGGGCAGCGCACAGACCCCTGTGTTTGCTTGTTATTCTCATATGCACATGAGCTTCCTGAGCCTGATTCCTGGAGTTTCTGCCGCATGTTTGTGAACACAACTGTCACTTCCCGTTAACATTAGAGGTGGCACCTGTGCATTTAAATCACTGCGGTATTCCTTAGTATTCCCAAAGTCTGATGTTTCGTGTATGTATTCAACATCCACCTCTACATTTCAACATTTAATGTAATTTATACAACAACACGTACATGGTTTTTAAACCATAAATTGTAACAGGTACATGTTGTTTCAGCGGCCTGTCTGCTCCCAAAGTTTTGCTGCTGCGAGCGACATTTATGAACGTGTTGTCCCTGGGAATCCAGGAAAAACACATGAGCCTCTGCAGAGATAAAAACCTCTGTCATGATATGCTTAAAACGTCTGTGCTCTTCATTTGGTGCAGGTTAGTAATGTTCTCCTGTTGCCCATCTATTGTAGAATTTATGTGAAAGAACAAATAGAGAAAACAGTTCTGAGGGGAACCGAAGCAGATGTGCAGATTATTGACCTCGGATAGAGTCAAGGCTGTTTCTGCTGTGTGTGAACCCTGCGCTAGTAATGAACCAGGGAACAGTAGGACACTGGTCTTGGAACTACAAAACTATAATTTTTTTACTGACTGGCATTTTGCTTAAATATCTGTTCGACATCTTGTTGGTGTTTAAGAATAACAGAAATCATAATTAAGTTAAAAACTTGTCGACAAGATTTGAAAAAAAAGTTGTACTTTTTATTAAATTTGTTCTGGACACTTAAAATTCAAATTATTCAAAATACTTAAAATAATATAATATATAATATATATATTATAAGTTATATATAAGTCAAAGGCCACATAAAAAACAAATTAAACTTGACACCAAACGGTGAAGAAGCAAGAAGCAAACACTTTGCATTTACCAAAATCAAATTCAAAAGTCTCACTTACTGCTATGGTTATTGTATTAAAAACATGTGTCAGATGTCGTAAAAAACCTCATCTTGCTGCGCCTATGTGTTTGAGTTTAACCAGTTCATATTTACAGTTCAAATCTCAACACTTTTTTAAAAACTATGGAGTAAAAAAAACTAGGGCACCTTCTCAAAAAGCAAATGAATATTTCAACAGCCACCACTGGAACCAGAGTGTGTGAATTCTGTCTGTTGTAAATTTGACTGTAAAATTCAATTTCGTCCACTGAGCATATGGATACACTGAAGGAAAGCTGTGCGCTTCATGATCCATCCGGAGCTGGAATCCAGCCGTGAAGTCCTCCGCAGAACCGTATAAAAATCTATACATTATTCCTAAAGTCTCCTGAGAAACAACCTGTTAAATGTTTTATTGTCGACTTGTGTCTTTGTGCTAAAAAGGCAGATGATGTTTTTTGCCTGAGTTTTCTGATTCTGCGCTAATTGGGATTTGATCCCATTTCATCATTTTATTAGTGTAAAAAAACAACATTCTTTGTCAATAAATTAATCAACTTAAAAAAAAAAATTTAGAAAGCAAAATCCATTGCAAAATTTATGTCTAAATAATGTTGCCTGTTACTATGTATGGACACAAACCCGACACAGAAGTCAGTTGCTTTTGTGACTGAAAGCACTGAGATGCTCCGTAGTGTGATTACTGTAAGGATAAGCTTTAACACACATGGTGTCTCTGAGGAAAACTTGTGGAAAGTTGGCTCGGAATAAACCGGCCTTCCTGAAGTAAGTGTACGGTGGGCTGCTATTTTTATACAGGGTTTTTGTAAAAATAATTCTCCTGTTTTATATATATGTTAAAAAAAGAGAGCTATCTCAAACTGATGCTTAATTCTTAGAGAAATATTCCCGTCTTTTTGAGCACGACTCAAACATCATTCCTCATCAAGTGTCTCTTGTACTGCAGCACTGAATGTAATCAGTCTGAGCAAACAAAACAAACAAATCTTCCCTGGGCATGAAAGACCAAGTCACGGTGGATTTAGCGTCATGAGTGATGATAAGACACTGCAGACACAACACCAAGACACTTCAGTTTGATCTGTAGCGTAGAAATTGGAGACGGATGGAGTATGAAAATTGACTTCATCTTTTTCCTGTTATTTTTTTTCCTCCTCCCTTTTTGTTTTCAATATATATCTTTGAGCCTAAACCCAGTGCTCTGTAAAGAACTGTTTTCACATCTGTTTCTTTCTTAGCACCAAGAGGAAGAATAGCATATTTTCTGGTTGTTTTTTTTTTCAAACTCACTGATTCCCAGTATGTTTTTAAAGCATCCATCAAGGGATCAGTCTCCAGGACTTTACTGTTCAACATATACTGTTCTCGGGAGACAAATAGTGCAGAGACAAGTCTTTTCCTGTCATTCCATATCTGTTTGTCGAATCTTCACAAAACCATAAACGTGGTTTCATCTCATAGGCATCAGTTTAACATTAAGTTGTTTATTTTTCTTGCTAAACTGTTTTGTTTTTTGTAAAAACAGTTAAAATCACATTTTTTGAGTCTATAAAGTCTTCTATAATGTTTGCGTAGAAAACATATGTAGAGTAAAGCAGTTCAACAGTCTACTAAACAGTATATATCGTAGAGTAGAACTCAACCGGTGGCTTGCGGGCCTTTTTTGCGCTGCAGGCGCTGTTTGGCTCATTAGCATCACACAACGAACCCTCATCGCTCTGTGTCACCTCCAAAACCGCTGCAGACACACACAACGTCACAGGCAAGTTTGTTTTCTTAACCCACCACGAGTGTTACGGCTCTGTTTGTCTGCAGCGCCACATGTAAGTGTGGTATATGTATTACATCGATTTCACCTAGAGTTCTGTTCCCATACCAGCGCCACCGTGTGTTCATGGTCATAGTGATAGTGATATAAAGATCTATCTCTAAGGCAACAACACTTTCCACTTCCATTAAAGTTATTTACTTCCTAGAAAAATCTCCCATGCCTTTATATTCTACTGCTTAATCCTTTTCAAGGTTGTGGGAGGTCTAGAGTCAACCCCATGACTGACCTGGACAGGTCACTGGTTCATCACAGAGACCTATAAGAATATTTTCACAAGAAAAAGTTTCATTCCTAACAGTCTGGTTTAAAAACATTTCTGACCTTTAAGTGTCTCTGATGGCTGAAAGCTGTGTTTCCTGTCCTAAAGAGTTCATCTAAGCTGTCTTAAACTTATATTCTTTGTAAAATGTCAAATCTTGCTCTCGGTAAATCCCACCTTAAGCATAAAGGTTCTTCTCATCTGTATTTCATTCAGCCCTATAAGCCCTTGAAGGCCAAATCTCTGAAGAGAACGCGTGCAGCTGGTATTTGTCAAGATAAACTGCCGAGTTTCCTTGAAAGTAGAAAATGTTAACAGACCGGGGGTGAAGTGATTGATCCAATTGTTATTGATTTACCAAGAAAATAGGGAAGAAATTAAGACTTTTCCTTGAAAGGATGTTCTGTTTTGTGGCAACAAATAGAAAACAAAATTTCATTTACTCAGTTTGCATAGTAATTAAAGTAATCTGGATAAGGTACACCCATTCAGACACACTTTTGCACCGGGACGAATTTTTTAATCAAACTGCAAACGTCTTTTGCTTCTGCAAAGTAAATCGACCTTGTAAACCACAGCCAGAAAGAGAGGGAGCTTTTTCTCAGGACCGACCATCAGTCGCTCTCCTCCCTGGGGAACGACTTGGAGGTCTCTCATCACAGAACAGCTCAGTGCAGCGAGATGGTTGAATGCGAGGACTTCATTAAACCCCTCTATTGTTAACATCTGGGTTCAGAAGAATGGCTCTTTCTCTGCTAAATGTTGCCTTGCCTTAACAAGGGATTTTATTACATCATGCAGTTGACATTGGCAGCAGTGGCACGTCTGGCAATGGAAACCCTGCAACTGTTCGGGTCACAGGAGATCAATCAAAGCAGCATGTTTCCCTCAAGTGTTCGGCTCTCGGCAGAACAGGGAGGTGAATTAAACTCTAATCTTGTTTTTTGAATCAAAATACCTCAGATGTTTGAGTGCGTTTTGTTTTACGTGTTTCCACAGTGAAGAAAGCGCCCAATTCTGGGCTCTGTTCATAAATCAGAGGAGCCAACTTGTCTTCATTATTCACTTTCCCTGCACATATTTCTCCTTAATCTTCCCCCAAATTCCCCCACAACCACCCTTTAGTTCATTGTCCCACAAATCTCTTACAGTATATCACGCTATTGGCTGTTTTGCGTTACTCTGCCTTCCTCTGGCCGCTTCCCTTCCCCCAGCTACTCTCTGTTTTGATCCCCTCCCTGTTCGGGATGTGGCTGCCATGGCAACTGCTGAATCATCCCACACCGGCAGCAACCCTCCTCCTAATTCCATCTCTCCATCATCCCGGCCTACATTAGCTAATTGATCTGGCGTGCGTTTGTGCTGTATCAGCTGCAGAAGTGCGTGCAGGGCTCACAGAACTTGGAGGTGCAGACGGTTGACCAGCTGCTTCTTTTTAACGGATGGGTAACGTACCCACAACAGTGAAGCACTGTCTGAGCTATGAACAACTGATCCAGGACTACCCATGGCTGAGACGCTGGCTGCTGGAGGAAAAGGTGGGCGTAGTCTCTCTTGTTTTCAGTCTGCTGCACATGCTCTGCCACATGACCGTAATGACAGAGAGTGTTAGGCAGCCAACGCTCTGATGACAACACTGTAGTTATGTAATATCCAGCTCAGTGTCATTAAAATAATAGAATTACATTCTTTTCAGTGCTGAACAAATATTTGTATTTATGCCTCTAACTGCTTTCAGTCTTAGCTGTTTTTAGCTTCTTCGTGGCTAACAGGAAGATAAACTGCATGTATAATAATTATAATATAATAATTGCTCTCAGCAGTCTGAGTCATTGACTATATCTTATACTGTAGTTGAACTCTTCTCTCTGTTTCCACTTGCTATCAAATAAACATCGTAAAGACTGAGGCTTAAGGTGAACATAGGACAATATTATCTCTTTTTCTTTTAGAGTTGTAATTATCTAAAAATATATTATGTAAAGCAAAGGTCTACAACATAGTAAAAGCATTGGTTATATAGTTAGTCAGTGAGGCTGCAGTATAAATATATAACTAGTACATATTTGAAAAGAGTAATTTTTAATATTAGTATTTCTACATCTACATATACATTATATGTGGTTAATGCATATTTCTGTTTTGAACATTCTCGGTTTGGAGACGTTAAATACAGTACACTCTAACCTGACCTAATACTACTTTACTGAGGAACAGTTACAAAATGCAAAAAAAAAAAAAAATTAAAACTTTTCTCCTGCTCTGTTTAAGTCTGAAAACTTAATGCAACAACACGTCGTGTTTCCATTAGATAATTTCTCCTTTGTAGAATCAAGGGGAGGTTTTGGCACCACCTTCCTCTTTGTCTCGTCTAAGCACTGAGATATTTCCAATGTTCTTTCAGTTCTTGGAAAAGAAAGAATTCAGATGGACTCCGATCAAAACCTGTTGCAAAGCTTCAATAATTCTAACAGCTTTCCATTTAAGTTTGTTGAGAAAAAAATGTTTACTCTGATTTCATTTTTTTTAAAGTGGAAAAACAGGATCAGAGCTAATGGACTGTAACACAGCTCAACACTTGACAACAATCTGCTGCTAAACCATGTCAAAGGAGTTGGAAACAGCATGTTGAAAAATCACACGCCCTTTGAAATGATATCATCTGCCTTAGAAGTTTTTCCTTAACTTTTGCATACTTCAAGATGATTGGAAAACATTATTGGAGGGTTATATAATATATTTTAAATATTTAGCTGCACAACATCTTTAAAATTCTAGGTAAAATTTTCAAAAATTTGGATCATCAAAAAATATGTAGATCCAGAAAATATTTCTCGTGGTTCACCGTTAAATTTCCCTATGTTTTTTTTCTGTGATCTGTAGAGTTTCTCCCTGATGACCTGACAGGTTTAGCCATGTTTCAGTTCTCAGGTTTCGTTTGTCTTTGACAGCAGAGAGGAGCTCACATTAGAATCGACTCTCCTGGAGCATCACAAGTCTACACTCTTATTTTTGTCCTTTCAGACCACCACAGAACTTGAGTATCCAGAGTTTGTTAAGGTCGTTGAGGTCGGGCCGAGGGATGGATTACAGAACGAGAAGGTTGGGTGTCTTCTCATGTATGAAAATTCCACATATACTTATATACTTATCGACATGGAGAATTAGGTGCAGGGAAATATTAATGGTTAGTGAAACTACTCCATGTCCTTCACAAGAAAACAGAATATCTCACAAGTATCACAATTGCCTTGGTGGGAGTTGAACCCAGGTCTATTGCACCATTGTCTTGGGCTATATTGCCATGGAGAACGATTGTTGTCTTTATCTGTCAAACCAACCATAACATGTTGGACTATGTACCATAATTGCAGCAGCATATGTTTTACATTTTCTTTGGAATTGGACTATAAGAAAGATGACACGATTTCTGGTTGGGTTTCACGACTTCCTTACTTACTGTAGATACAGTGCTTTTAACGATTGCAGCGGATGCAGGAATTATTTCATTTGTGAATTTTGACAATGAACTGAGCCACATAAAATGATGCATCACAGAAAATAAATCTTATACAATATATCTACTGGTACAGTGCCTCCCATGAAGAAGGTAATTAAATCCAGTCCTTTTCATTTCACTTATTTCCATTGTTTCCCAGGAAATTGTGCCGACAGAGATGAAGATACAGCTGATAGACATGCTGTCACAAACAGGCCTGTCTGTCATCGAGGCCACCAGCTTTGTCTCTTCAAAGTGGGTGCCGCAGGTAAGACCTGGTCTTTGTGCAGAGTAAAACCACGCTGAGTGATCTATGGAGTTCTCTCTCTTATGAGCCCAAACACTGCAGGAACTAAATCTGCTCCTCCAACATCTCTGTAAAGAGTATGTGAAAAGACTATTTTAAGATGTTCATCATATACTTCAGTCTCCCTGTCACTGCCTGTGCTAAATGGCTCCATTATTTCCCTCCTGAGCAAACATGACCATGTTTTGTTAAACCTGAGAAACGCAGCATTTTGTCAGTGAAGAATCGTCTGCTGCGTACAGCCATGAGAAAACATTTGTGCTGGACTGTTTCAGTTATTGTAAGAAACGTATTCAAACAATTATGAGAAATACGTTTTCTTCATCATACGTTTCCCTGCTGTCTCTCAGATGGCAGATCACAGTGATGTACTCAGAGGGATCAAGAGGGCGCAACATGTTCAGTACCCGGTTTTAACACCCAACATCCAGGGTTTCCAGGCGGCTGTGAGTACTAGTTTTTCATTTTTCTTTCTCTGTTTTGGTCATTGTGCACCATGTGTATTCGTGGTGTAGGATCAAATAAATCTATTGAACGTAGTTCATTCTGATATGACCTGATTTGACATAACAGGAAAGTGAACTACTTGTCATTGTGACCTTCCGGACCCAAGTCCGCTTCCTTAACCACTAAGCCACCACTGCCCCATCTTGTCGCTTCTCATCTGACTAAATGCAAACTATTTTAGTGTTATTCACTCCAATAATCTAATAATATCTAACCTAAGGTAAAGCAACATACACATTTACCCACGGACTAATACAAACGGAATCTAATCTAATCAAATGTAACCTAATCTAATGTAATATTAGCTAACCTGAAGTAAATGCAATGGATACATTTTTTCAGGGATTATTAAAATTGTAATCTAATTTAACTGAATGTAACGTAATCTATTTTTATGTAATCCAGTCTAATCTAAAAAAGTCTGGCTAAGAGGGATGCTATTTTTATGTAATCCAGTCTAATCTAATCAGTAAAAAAGCAATATTCCTCTGCTTTTGGAACCAGAGCAAAAGTTAAAAAGAGACAGTAAATAAGTAGATTTATTCTGGTCTAGGCCTCATGGTGTAATAATGTTTCATTCTTATCTCTACTAAAAAAGTCTGGCTAAGAGGGATGTAATGTTTCTTTCTCCTGTGTAAAGGTTGAAGCAGGTGCTACTGAGGTGGCCGTGTTTGGGTCAGCATCAGAAACGTTCAGTAAGAAAAACATCAACTGCTCCATTGATGACAGCATGCTCAGGTTCCAGGAGGTCGTCAGTGCGGCCAAAGAGCGACACATCCCAGTGCGTGGGTCAGTGTCCTCCACAAAATATTCTCCATTTATCTAATAATTGTCACGTTGAGTGAGTAAAAAACACACGCATTGTACGTTTGATTCCCGTTGTGATTCGTACTCTGATGATCACATTTCAGCTTCCACTCCAAACTAAACAGCTGAAAATACAGTTTCTATATGTAGGACAAAAACACACAATTTGGTAATGATACCTTGGTGCTGGAGTTCCAGATGTTCTCGCCAGGTTGTATCTATGCATTGCAAAACCACACGTCCAAAAAGGCATTAGAGCAAAGCAAACACAGTCATTTACTGGATATAGTTGGTGCCTTTGTCATAAATGGAAAGTTAGAGACCGCTATTCTAATATGTGGGATTTTCTTTATTACATATACTACATACAGAAAAAATAAACATGTCAAATGTGAACCTGAAAAACAATTTTCCAGCAAATCTGTGAAGCTGAAATCCTCTGAGCCCACAGTTAATATACTGTAGTTCCAGTGTTATATGCCACTACACCCACAAAGTCTTTCCTTCCTTCAGATATGTTTCCTGTGCACTGGGATGTCCTCACGAAGGACACATGGAACCTGCCAAAGTTGCTGAGGTAAGACTGGGTGGTACTTTGATTAATAAAATATTAAGATGAAAGATAATTTCGACAAATTCATTTATTTCATTTACAGTGCTGACCAAAACACTGAGCTCACACGTCTTGGTTTCATACAGAACACGTTCGACATATTCATACCGACAGTCCCTGCTGCCCAAACACTGACAGACCACGATGAAAGACCAACAGAACACTGGCGAGGACTCACAGACAAATATGAGTTCAAACAACATTTGATTAAATTCTGGTGAGCGTGAATACGCTCAAAAACCTTGAAAATCTTTGCCAGAAATGCAGAAGCAATTAAAATATTTTGGCCATGGAAAAATGTTTGGCAGCCTCACCGAGAGATCACATGTCCTAAGGGAACCAAATCTGATACAAATGTATATTAAGCATAATAAGTAGATAGTAGAACAGATGGGGATTTTGTGCAAAAATCAAGGTCAGATCAATTTTACACTTCATACTAAATGGGTTTGTCATACTGAAGTACTGAATGCTACTGGGTGGGAATTGATCATTGTCTCATTGTGCTATTAAAATAAATGATAATGACATGGGTCTTGTCAGTGTTTGCTAATGGGGTAATTTTTGAAAAAATGTAGGTGGCAAAGAGGTTGTATGACATGGGCTGCTGTGAGATTTCGTTGGGCGATACCATTGGTGTTGGTACTCCAGGCACCATGTGTCAGATGCTCCAGACTGTGATGAAGGAGGTTCCTACCAAAGCTCTTGCAGTTCACTGCCATGACACCTATGGGCAAGCACTTCCCAACATCCTAACTGCACTTCAGGTAAGATACACCCGACATAACCCATGAGGTTCTCCAATGATCCAATACACAAGCAAGTCATACATTTCTAAGACATACAGGGAAAATATGTATGGAAACAATTTCATTTGTTGTTTAAAAAAATCATTTTCTAAGATGAATTTCCATCACATATTTCCCTCTTTTAAAAATTCAATTATTGAAGTCTGATAAAACAGAAGATGTGGTTTCTGGTTATTTGAGGTATGAAGCATCAATCTACTTTTTCGATTGAATCATTTTTTTAACAGTTTAGATGAAATAAAAAAGGGCTTTGTTTTGAAAAACCCTTTGAAAATTCCCAATGCTGCCCTGACACAGTTTTACAGAGATCCAACATTTCAGTGTGTTATTCACAGAGGAGATGCAGATTCTCATCTGTACATCAAAGAAGCCTCGACATTATCCTCAGGTCAGATCCTCACCTGTTAAAGTATCTGCTTTTACCTTTATCTCAGCAAAAGTTCTGCACCTACTGCTTTATATAAACTTTTTTTCTCTGAAGAATGTAAGACTTTCTGCAAGAAAACTTGTATATAAATGGTGGATTTTACATAAAGTTGTGATTGTGGCTGTGACACAACCTATGACTTTTTGTAACAGTGAAATTTTTCTTGAAGTAAATGTAAGCAAAAAGTACAAGTTCTTGCACATTATTCTTCATGGCAATATACAGTAGCTCAGAGGCAGAACCTCCTGGACAGGGAGGACGGTCAGGGAATCCTAGTCAATCATTCGCAGAAATGACATAAAACCAGGTGGTTTTTTCGACCCAAGGACGTTGCTAACTTTTCTTTCAGACACCAAGAAACCACATTAACTTAAAAGTGCTTGATAGTACCACAGTATGTGCTCTTTAAATCTGAGACCTGTTCCAACATAGACACCAACTCTCTGTAAAGCTGAATCATTTTTGGGCTTAAATAACTCCCTGTTTATGCCATTATGAATGTATCCTCTGTCCAGCCAGTAGTGAAAAGGCCCAAAACAAATGTATAGGTTTCAATGGGACACAGAAAACCAGGAACCATCAGTCAGCGATGAAGAGGGACATTAAGAAACATGATCTAAGCTTCCTCACAAAGTAAGATGATTCTCAAACTGCCCATTGGAGAAAAAAATCCAACAGAACATTAGACATTTCCAAAGGTCCGTCCCACCACTGTACACACACGATTTGTCAAAAAAGGAGCAACTTTAGAGAGTGGATTTCTGTGTTCTGTACTTTTCAGCTTTTTGCTCACAGAGAGTGTAAAAAATGACATCAATCCTGACATAAAACAGAGGTAAAGCAGCCACAATATCACTGTGCAGGAAGATGCGTATTGGGGGCTGGGCGGGTCAACAAATGTGAGGGGGTCAGCACAAAGACTCACCTATTCACTGTCTGTCGGACAAAGCAACTGAGAGCTAGGTGGATAGAAGGGCCCCTCGGGGACTCCTAACTCATCTGTCGCTTGGCTGTTGAACTCTGACAATGCTGCATTTAAGGACCAGTGGAAAACAATCCTTTCATTCGCTCTGCTGCTGCGCAGCTGAGCCAGTGATGAATGGTGTTACAGCTGCAGACCCAGCATTTCAGTCCACCTGAAGAGGCGCAGATGATTCTGCTACATATTTAGGCTCCGTTAATGCAGATTTAGCCTGATGGGTGGACTGGGTTAGGTGTTCTTAGATAGATGGTCCAGGGTGTAGCCCAAAAACTTAACTTTGCTTACTGAGCCGAATATGCCGTGAATAAAATGTCTTCAGTCAAGTTGAATGATTAAAAATCATTTTCTTTGTAAAGTACATGCAACTATATTCAGAATGACTTTTATACTTTCATCACATGTTCATGCTCCACATAGGAGCCATTTGGAAGACCTGCCTCGGGAAAATGAATAGCATTTGGAGGTATTTATCCAGCCATTAGCTCAACCATAAACAAGATTGAAAGGAAAGATTTTATCATAGTTTTTCATTATTGTTTGCCAAAAGTCCACGCCACCAACTGAGAGAGAAATGAATTCCCTCAGTGCTGTCAGCCCTGAGTCACCTCTTTTGTTCTTGATAAAGACATTCCTCAGTCTTTGTACTTTTTTCCCAGGAGGTCTGGAGGGGCTTTGTTACCAACCTTCTCCTGGCAGGTCACACAATGACAATGTATGTACTTAGATTTCAGGGGCTTGGCAGGGAAATTATTTATTCTTACCCACATATTGTGGTGTATTATGAACAGCCGCAGCTCGGAAATACAGTAAAACCAGTTTGTACACACACTTGAACGGTATTTTTGTTTCAGCTCCATCAATGAGGTACTGTTCAGCCCTTACTGGTGCTGCGGGGTCGGTACTTTTGTTTTAGTAAAATAATAAGTGCATGACGTAAATATTTATTATATTCCTCACATGATTAAAGTCATTCAATACGTCTTCATTGTCCCAGTCTCCTGCAGTCCAGTTCAGTGTTTCCTATGGAAACTGAACTGAACCACAGTGACCCAACTTCACCATTAAAATAAATGTAAACAGAGATTCTTATGTCAAAATCCTAATTTGTTCATATTGTCCATAAAGAAAATTCTTTATGGACATTTTATTTGTTATTTTTTACAAAGGTCTTTCATGCATTTGTAATGTTAAAAATCTGAATAAAGTGCTAAAATCATTTCATTTTAACAATCTAAAATCTTATGTCTTATATTCTGTCTAAATCACTGGTTTACAAATATACTCCATATATTATAAAGGTGCAAAAAAAAACATACTGTATGTTGTCATTTTTAAAAATTGCAAGTGCTGTTGGATTGAAAAAAATTGAGAGATTTGAAGAATGTTTTGCAGGAATCTGCTGCAATAACTGCCTCTATATTAATAGTACTAGTCCAATTAGTTGTATTCAATTTTACGTAGTTTATAAAGAATTTATTTCTAAAACGTTATTAACTTTTGTTGAAGTGAAGTTGGGAAAATTAGTTTATGAAATTAAAAGTTATAATTTAACAAATTACCTTTTGCATTACATAACAAGACCTGGTTTGTATTTCCTGTGGTGAGTGTGTACTGTATCAACATTAAACTGTCAATGTGTCAGCAGTAAATCTCTGACAGTTTGACTCCAGCTTAGCACTGATATATTATGTATAACAGAAAGTAAAGAACCACTGCTTCATATCCATCAGTGGATACACACACACACACAGCCTTGTTCTCTACTCTCTCTCTCTCTCTCTCTCTTCCTTGTACAGTTATGAAACCAGAATGGGAGCAGGTCCATCTCCGTCCACTCACTGTGCAGAAAGTCAACAACCTGATCTCAAATTATGAAAGTTTCAACATTGACTGTGTCGTTATCCAGGAATGCATTGTTGTTCTACAACCACAGCGCAGTGGATGGAGAGTGATTTTTTACACTGAGTGCACATCTGGCGCTCAGGGCAGTGTGAATGTAGGCGAACATTGGCAGACTCAGGCTGCTGACCACCGATCTGTGCATGATTATTGTCCAGAGAGACAAGGAGCCTCTGCTGAAGGGTCTGCTTTGTTTGTCTCAGGAACAGTGTGCTGAAGACACCAAGCCTTCCACAGTTGGAGGCTGAAAGCGTGAGGATTGGCATGGAAGATTACATCTTGGTGTTTATACTACAAAAATTATGCCCCTGTACGATATCCTGCTCTGGCTTCAACCAAGGTCTGGAAATCTCGTGCACTGCTGCACATACAGAGCACATCTCCTCCTCTTTAAACCCCACCTCCTACTCCTTCAATGCCAACGCAAACAGCAATTACAGCTGGCTCAGACGGCCCCTAAAAGAAGAAGGCGCTTGTCTGAGGAAAAGCAACCAATTAGCAGCATTGTTTAAAAAGAAAATCAGATGAGAGAGATCCTTTTAATTTAGCCTGCCTGACCCTGCTCCACGGGGGTGAAAGTCCTCCATGACCCAGTGCGACTGAGAGTCAGCGTGTTAATTTTGTTTCACTGTGGGATTCTCTGACATCTGGCTTTGCCACGGAAGCTGGAAAACATCTTTAATATTCTCAAGACAATCCCCAGGATATGTGGGAAAAAAACATCCCTAGACCTGAGTCCATAATGAATCCACGGATAATGAAGGTCTCACTTCAACAGTGGTGTGAAAACACGGGTTTGTGCTAACAATTGTTTTGTCTTTTTTTTAATGGTGATAACATTCTTGAAAATGAAGGTCGAAAGATTTATTCAATCTGGGCTATCGGGATTAGTAAAAAAACAAATAAAAACAAAATTAAATTAAAAAAAAATCATAAAACAACTGCATCTGTTGGCCAGAGCCTTGTATTGTATAACTTACTAGGGAGGAAAATGCCTTAAACTTGTAAGTGAACCTAATATCTCTCAATAATCACCACTTTAATTTTCATCAAATTATATATAAATATATATATATTTTAATTTCAAAAGACATGGCTATTTGCCTGTAAATAAGCATAGTGCATGACTTCAATAACCTTTCAAACAGGTACCAATATAAGGGGCATCATCTAAAGCAGTGGCCACCAGTAGGCAAACCACATTCCAATGTAAATCTAGCCAAAGTTAGTAGCCAGAACCAAACCCGTCACGGACACAATTTTGATGCTGTGAGCTTTTCAGTTATTACGGTAAAAAAATCTAGAAGTAACAAACAGATATAATGAAGTTACAGCTTATTTTGGCCTTTTGCCAGGGCTCTTTAAATTTAAACACTTTTGTGGAAGTATCTATTTTTATAGCAAAGGTGAAAATTGTGAATTCGAGGCATGTTTTACATGGACACCATCAGCCTGAAGAAAAGACAGTGTTCAGTGTGGTGAAGTGAATCCCCGCAGTGGAGGTGCAGCTTAATGCTGAAAAAACATGCGGAGCGGGGAGAATCAGGAACACTTGAAATGTTCTCGTCAGCGTTTATAATACTCCTGCTCTGAGAACAAGGCTGTGATTATGTTCTGCCGGTGTTTTGAGCTGACAAAGAGGATGACTATGCCATACTGTGGGATATTCTGTGCCCACTCATCTTCAAAACACAAAACCCACATTTCTCCTGAACAGCTGTAGAACACAACCACAGGCCTGGCAGGGCACGCTGCAGCGGCCAGAACAATTCAGCAGAACAAGGATCTTTGTTCCTAGTTTTTGTACCTTTTTTTTTCTCCACCTGAGGGGAAGCCTGTGTGGAGGCTCTGAATGTCTCTGTTGTGTGTGTGTCCTTGCAGATGGGGGTCTGTGTGGTGGACTCGGCAGTTGCCGGCCTGGGAGGCTGCCCGTACGCTCAGGGTTCTTCTGGCAATGTTTCAACAGAGGATGTTCTCTACATGCTCCATGGCATGGGCATTAAAACTGTGAGTGCGCCTTTGACAGAGCTGCTTTAGTTTTCACCCTTTTTACAATCCCTGCAATTATTCAGAGATCACTGACGTTTACAGAGCGCTGTGCAAACACGCTGCTCTCTAAAGTGTTTATTTTATAACAGCAGTGGTTTCACACAACTCACACAGACACAAATCCACACAGCCAGTCACACCGGGAGGAACAATTTATTTAACAATTCCTACCCCTGCTGGCTAAATGGTCTCACTACAGCTAAACTTGACGGTCACGTTTTAAGTGACAGCATTTAAGGCTAGAATACGGCTGATTCTACCTGTTTTTTCACAGGGGGTGAACCTTTCCAAAGTTACAGAGGTTGGGGATTTTATCTGCAGCACTTTAAACCGAAAGACCAACTCCAAGGTCGCTCAGGCCAGAGGTGGAACACTCTGATGGCTCTCATATGAAACGTGCTTCCTTCTTCTTGTTGCCTTTTATCCTGTTGTCAATGCTGCTGTATCTAAAAATGAAGCTTTGTGATCTGCGTTTAATTTAATTTATCACCCTGATTTTAATGTTAACAAAGGAGTTTTAATTTCAGCAGAAATTTTAAACGTGAAGAACTGCAGTCTAATTGTATAATTGAGTGTCCAAATGTTCCACTTCTCATATTTATCCTGCTCTGACTAATGAACCTATTCAATGCTGGTCTCTTATTAGCTTATGTAACTAAATGTTTTAAAACTAAAATTTAAAAAAAGATTGCTTGCTTAAAAGTGCTTTCAATTCATTAAGAGAAGAAGCAGAAGAACATCGCCCTCTGACAGAAACACTGAAGATGCAGTGAAGATCTAAATATAAGATTTTCTGTAAGGTTTGCCATTTACCACCAGCTAATGGGTGCTGCTTTTTGCAGGTGTTGTACTATAATTGTTTTTCTCGTGTTCTGAACCTGTATGATCTAGTCGTGTCTTTAAATTAAATGAAAAGGAAATTTTCCCTATCTTTTTGTCCAGAGTTAAACTGTATCCATTTTAAATCCTAGTGCTACAAAATTTCCCACAACAGGAATCAAAGAATGAAACTTGGCATTCGCAGAGAGCTGTAATAAATATAGAGATCAGAATAAAGCAAACATCAAGGATATGAATAAAATATACCTCCAGATATGCTGATATGAAATACATCTTAGTCACTAAAAAGCTGTGAATCAAATTTGAAGCCATCCATGCGGAGAGTTTCACTTATTCACTTTGATTTCTGAAAAACCTTATGTGAAAACTGCCTTTGATGTTTGAAGAAAAAAAAAAGTCATGGAGATTATCCATCCAGGAACTAAAAGCACAACTTCACTGGAGCATCACACTATCGTCATCAGTATATCAAAAGAAAAACTGCCAAAGTAACTTTTCAACAGGAATAAGTCAAAAGAACTAAAAAAAAAAGCACAGAGATAAAAGAGGCCACGCACACTTCCCTCAGGCTGCCACAGCAAATATGATAAAACCCATAAGTGAAGTAAGGTCATGGTAAAAGTTAACATCATAATCAGGTCAGAGATGCATCTAAGAAGGCTCTTGTCAGACAAAATTAAACTTTCAGCAGCATGGGAACTACATTTTTAGATATATATTTTTATATTTTCTTAAATGTATTATAAATACACAAGTATTACTTTGTATTAAATAAATGATCAGTTATTTAAAATCACTACTTAAATGTTATAACAGGGTGGAAATAGTTTGAACTACAACTCATTACAACTTAAACTTTTTTTTTAATTCCTTGGACTTCAGTTATAGAGGAAGGGTGAAAGAAAACAGTGCAAGAATGTCAAGTACAATATTGTTTATTTTGAAATATTAAATGAAAGTGTAACTAAAAGTAATGGGGGTCTTGACACAAAATAAATGAAAGAAAGCAGCCAAAAATAGATAAAATAAGCCAACCATTAAATCACCATGGCATCTCATTTAGTCCTTAATTTGGTCAAAGGTCACTGATAAACTACAAACGCTTGATCACTAGGTCTTCACACTGACTACTGTAGCATTTTTGGAGGATGGTGTTGCACAATGGGTGAACCAGGTCACAAAATCAGAGGGATCCAGGTCTGATTTTAGAAACAGCCTCCACGGTACAAGCACTCAGTAAGAATTCAAGACTGGAGTTCTTTAAGCACCAAGAAGAAGAAGAAGGAGTGGAGAGGATGCACAGTGGTGTAGGGTAAGTGTAAAGTGAAGGAAATCCAGCTCTTTGAACTCTGACTGACTAAAGCAAAGCTAGCGTAAATCTTGGATCAAGCGTGTCGTATAAATCAGTGACCGACAACCAAATTCTTAGGTCATTGGTGAAATGTCATGACGATTTCAACAGCTAACCATAAAAACAAAAAAATAAAAATCCATATACATCCGAGCAGAGATTAGAATGGATTCTCCTGTTAGCTGTAGCGAGCCTGTGTCCTTAGGGGGCCAAGACCTAAACATGAACGAGTCAAGTAAGTTTCCTACACAACAAACAGAGCATAACAGGAACAATAATTGAGTACAAACCCCAAGCCACCCAGTAAGGAGGAGTCTGGCTCATCTTGGCTGCAGTCCTGACTTGACCTGGATGCTGCTTTTCCAAGTTCTGTAGTCTCGGGTCTATTAGAACCAAGATGATAGTAAGCAATCATAAACAAATGTACAAAAAAAAAAAAGAAAGAAAAAAAAGACAAACCTGAGTCTTCTTTAAATGGTGTTCTTCATGGTGAGTCTCCTTTTTAGCTCCACATTTGTGATCCTGTTCTTCAGTGGTGCTTGATAAAGTCCAGCCAATGTCTGCCAATAGGATGAGGGGGGAAAAACAGAGAACAGAATAGGCACATGTTAAGGGAGGGGGGGGGGGGGGGGCTCTGAAAAAAAATTAAATTGAGAATTTGCTCACATTTAGCCAACTTCAACTTCAGTCTGTTGTGTGAACAGACAGTTGAGATGAACCCTGCAGCAGAAACCCTCTCCAATGACAGTGAGGGCTCCCATTCTGGGTTAAACAACTTTATCCAGGCTCTAACTCTTCCATACTTGGTCAACAGAATCCTAGAGACACAGATCAGCTCAGTCAGCAGATTAATGTGAACAGATTCAGCTATGGTCAATGTGAAGAACAAACCTGAAGACATCCTGTGGCAGAGCAGATCTTGTCACTAAGGAGTTGGTCCACCTTCACTCTACAGTCCAGGACACCAGATTTGCAGGGCTTATGTGGATCCGACACCAACACCTCTGGAGCAGGAAATGCCAAGGAGTCTTACCTGTGTAACTGACAGATCTTACACACATACAGTTATTAACAGCTCATGTGACACCTCCACCACCAACCAACACTGATCATGGAACACAACCAGATTTAACACCAGTGACACACCAAAGGGCTAAATGTTGGAGTAGTAACAAGGGAGGAAAGTTTGCTCCTAAATCTGCATACAGGGTAAAAAAAAACAACCAAAAAAAAAAAAAAAACTACTCAGATTTAACTGCATTTCAACAAATGGTAAATATAGCAGCTATTAGCCTTAATACCAAAAGTCCAAATCAGTCACATTCTTCTACTATTCAGCCCACAGAAGTTGTCAATACATTTTTCAGACGTTGTATACATTGACTTAATCTTTACCAGGTCTTTGGTTGTCTCGTTGCCAAGTACATTTTCTAGTAAAGAGCATAAGCGCGCAATCTAACCTTATGCCTACCAACTTACTTAGCCTATTTATAAATTTGACAACTTAGCCCTGCATGTATCCAGTAAAACGAATAATTTTGCAGAGGAAAGTATTCCTGTGCCGGGAGGCCTCCCAAAACGCCATCTAAATGCCTCAGAAGGGCAAACAAGTCTTTAGTAGGAAATGAACTTGGCAGAGGGAGACAAGCCAGATCTGTCTAAACTGTTTAATGACATTAATGACAACTTAAGACCAAACATCATAAATAGCAGATATTGGACTGAAACGAGTTTAACGTTTATATAGAAATTCCACAAAAATAAATAAAATATTCTATGAGCTGAATAGTAATTTAGATCAAACAACTGTCAAGTCAAACATTTAAATATTTGCACTGTTGACTTCTCACCAAAATGGCCCAAGCCCTCAACTTGTACTCTGATCCACAGGTGGAAAATTAGAGCCCTGTAGTAGAGTAACAACCAGAGTAACATTCCAACAAGGCAATCAGAGCATCTGACCAACTGAACACCACGGAAACATGCAACATGCAGATAAAGACGACCACATTGAAGGTAAACAAGACCAGGGGTGCACAAGTGCAAACAGACCAACAACAGTCAGTGAAAGGTGTGGCATACAAACCTGTCACATAACAGTCAAAAATCACACAAATATACATCAACAAAAGCAAAATAGTTAACCATACACAGATCAAGCTACATTAACAAAATGTACAAATACAAAAAATGAACATGAATATACAGCAACAAAAAGGTATAGAGAATATACAGTTACAAAAAGAGAAATGTACAAAATATACACTTACAAAAATGTACAGAGAATATACAGTTACAAAGAGAAATGTACAAAGAATATACATTTACAAAAGTGTACAAAGGCAGGGTTACACATTTTCCAGTACTGGACATCCATACATTAGTACAGCAGATGTAGCTGGAATCCAGGTAGTCTTTTTTGGCAGCAACTGCAACTTCCAAAACAGTGTAGAATCAGAAGATCCAAAAAGGTGGAAGAGGACCGCAAACGGACCATCAAAATGGTGGAGGGCTGCAAACAGGACAACAAAATGGTGGAAGAGGGCCGCAAATGGGACATCCAAACGACGCAAGAGGACCGCAAACGGGACATCCAAAAGGTGGAAAACGTCCAAAATTGAGGCAAACGAACGCAAACGTGATATCAAAATTGCTGATATTTATAACTTATTATTCAAAACTTTTTATAAAGTTATTAAAAAGCTACAAATGATCCTGAGAGAGAGTTAATGACAGGTAGGCGCTGAAAACTAGTACTGGAAGTCAGCCTTTTGACATCCAGGTTTACAGAGAGCACCCCCACCCCTGCTATGTTGCTATGTTTTACAAATTCAAACTCAGACAAGCAAGCAAGGCACGGCGGCCTGACAGGACAAACCAGCGACACGGCGGCCGCACAGAATAAAAATAAATGACGTTCCCTACTATGTTGAAGATCTTCAGGACGATCAATCTGAGAAAAATAAGCCACAGACGACTTACGTTACATACTGACGTTTCGGTCTGAGAGCAACATTTGTCGAAAATAATTAATTTCCTATAAAAGAGAAAAGCCGAGTTTGACTCCGCAGACTACTCACCTTGTCTTTCGGTTCCAGTTCTGTACTTCGACGCTCGACAACTTCATTCTAGTCTCCGTGCGCAAAAATGTCGACGTATCTGTTCATTACAAACATTACAAGTTTAAAACAAGTAAAATCTAGGCTGTTTGGCCTGACATAAAACAACGAGTTACAACGCCACAAGCCACTTACCTGTCAATCTCGGCCGTTCATCCGGACAAGGACGAGTCGTCATTAAGAGATAACTCCATTCACCTGCGGTGTTTTATAGCACGTGGCGAACCATTCCAGCGTCTGACGTCAAGCTTTGTGACGTTACTACACCGCAGAACAGCGTGATTGGTCAGACTCATGTGGGCGAGGCTACCGCAGCAGTGGCTTGTTATTTTATTTTGTTCCTATGTCTTTAGTAAAGGGCTGATCAAGAAAACAATTAGTCAAAAGAAAAGCGTGTAATGCTTTGTAAACAACATTTATAAAGTACAGATCTTGAATAAACTGTGGACTGTGCAACAATGCACTTTTAAAATATAAACTAAATAAATTGAGAACTTTGAACATTTTTACTTAAAGCGAAAAAAAGAACAAAAAACGACAAAAATAAACGTATCTATATAACTTATTCAATAAGAAAAAAGAAAAGAAAATGCAAACCATCACTGTTTCCATCAACAGTCTTGGGTTCATCACAAACGGTTACGGTTGTAAAACTTTCTCATAAGCCATTAATGTGATGTGTTCTTTAAATTAATAAATAATTTGTTACATTTGTTCTAAAAGATATTATTTATTCACTAAATAAAATGTTATCAGCAAAAAAATTAAACATTTAATTGCTCTCGGGGAGAACAATGAAATTATATTCCACTAGGCGGCAGCAGATCGTTATTTATTTATTTTTTTAAATGTTGCTGTTTCATGTCATTTTATTCACCCTGAAAAACCATTATATTTCTTTTCATATAGCTTTTGTGACATCTTTGTTTGGTGGTGGTTTTGGTGGGATTTGTTGGCTCAGAAAGGTGAGCAACACCAAGGTACAGTGTATATGAAATGTGCTATACAAATAAAACTGCTAAAAATAAATAAAATTAAAATAAATAAAGTTGACTTGTTGGCACAAGAGCTGCTCATTCACATCATACTGCTATTTTCATAGTGAAATTTACAATAGTGAATTTTTGTGTGTTTTTGGTTACACTACCCCATCAACTGTTAATAACAGTTAATATTGATGTCATGTCAAATGAAAAGTCCAAAGAAAGTGATGGAACCAAAATGGGAAACTTGTGAAAATAGGGAACCTCTCTGCTTCTGATCTTCTGTTCATATCTGCATCAACTTGAAAGTAAAAAATTGCAGCTCCAAGCACCTACACACCTGCTCCACCTCTTTCATCCCAGGAACTGTCGGCTCAGGAAGATAGATACTTTGCTGAGACTCTAATCAGAAGACCAGACCTGGTCTGTGGACAGCGCTGGCAAACTCTGCTGAAAAAGCAATATATTTTCCAGGATGATAGGCATTCTCCAACAAGGACTTTTTAATTCCCCTGTGGGTAAGGTTTGAAGGCACAGCAACAAGGACTTTTTAATTCCCCTGTGGTTTGAAGGCACAACTTGACACAAAGACAGAGAGTATCGTGATCAAACACTACAATATGTAGATGAAAGTTTTATTGTGAGTTACAGCAGGAGCATGGAGCATCAATAAATCACCAGTCAAAGACAAACAATAAGATGAAGCAAATCTCAACCTCTCAGATGTGAAGTGAAGGAAATGATGTAACAGGACTGACAAGTAAAATAACATGAGGGAGTAGTGGTTGGTTCAGAAGAGGGAGAAAAAAATGAAAATGACATATTACATTTTTTCTTGGTCTAATTCTCTAAAATATAAATGACATTATTACACAGTACAACATCCTCTGGTACAGTACAAAGATGTGGTGAACTCTGACAACAAGACACATATCTGACAATACTTACTTCATGTCTAAATAAAGGCACTGCACTGTGTAGCATATGCTACATAATTAAAATAATCTGATAAATTCTAATTATCTAGACAAATTATATTTAAATAGAACAATGGGTATTTTAATGACACACATACATCTACCAAATGAATCAGAAAATGACACTCTTGTGTGGAGGCTGAAATTTTCTTCCATCTCTTTTTCTTAATACCCTGTAAGGACAAAATAAAATAATATTAAAAGTACCCCAGATGGTACTTCAGTACCCCCAGCGTGACATGGAGGCATAAATTCAGCTGTTATATGTTCTGTTTTGCTTTGTGTGTGTAAAAAGAAATATTTAAAGTTGTACTACTTTGTCATACAGTGTATTGTACCTCTGGTACTGTGTCCAAAAAGTTCAGGAACAACTAGTATTTCCAATTTATGGATTTTTTTCCCCTGAAATTCTTACCATATGTTAATGACAACAGCCAGTGGTAATAAGATAAGAGTTCCGACAAAGAGCGCAACCGCAAAAGCATACAGGATATAATCTGTAAAGACAAAATACTTGATATTAAAATCATTATATATCACGACTATGCAGAGTAAACATTCTGTATTAAATATTACCCTGTGACCACGTTTGACTTTGTTCAGCGTCTTCTCTTTCTTGAGACTCAAACAAACCTCTCTGGCTTTTCCGAGATGGAACTACGATGAGGAATAAGAAGAGAAATACAAATTAACATTTGGCCGTTGTTTAAAAAAAAAAAAAAGTAAATCCAAACCAACTCACGGAAGAGTGACCTGTTATGGAATACATCATGAATCCTGTGGCAGGTTTGCTGTTCTTTACCCTGCATGCCTTTGCATGAACAGGGAGCATGAAGAACACTGCCTAGAGTAGCTGTGAAAGCTTGTTTACATTCAGGGTCAGCACCTAAAATGTGAGCTGGGTCCATGCTGGTGAGACAATCACTGCCAACGAAGTCACCGTCACCACAGTCCAAATATTCAAAACTCCAGCATTTGGCTTGGAACTTTTTTAACAAGCTCCTGTTGAGCAGGAGGAGACATGTGTCACACGGAGTCAGCGTTTGTCATTTCAATCATTTAAAATTGTAGACCAGAGAGTGGCATGGGTGAGAGGAGACGCACACTCTCATTAGCTCTCTGTGGAAGTTATAGCTCACCTACGTGTTAATTATTCAAAATGGTAAATTCTGTTAAACTTTAGCAACAAGATTACGTTTGACTGTGAAACACAAAAAACATAGTTTGTTTGGAAACAAATATATCAAATATATCAAAATATCAATTTTAGATTTTATTTATTTTAAAGATATATGCACATGTGCCAAATTTCCTGGCAGATTTTGTAAAGGGATGTCTGACTTTTCAAATATCTAGGTGGAAATAATTCAAAAAATCTAAATGCAACATTTCTACATTAGAACTACATTGGAGTGTGAATTCTTTGCGATTCAGTCCTACTTCATTCATCCCAGATGGTAATAATATTAAAATTCTATAGCAAAGATATTATTGAATAACTACGAGGACAAATTCCTACTGTTTGTGCTACTGCTGAAAGTATATTTTGTTATTTTTAAAAAAGGGTAAGTATTACTATAATAGACCTGCAGTTAGTGTCTGTTAGACACCGTTGAACTGTTTCCTGGCAGATCAGCGTCTCTCCGCCACACGTCCCACTGTGCAAAGCCTTTTTCATCTGCAGGCAGCTCTGGTCTGTCGCCTCACATTCACACATGAGCAGCATCTCCGCGACGTTCTGCGGCATGCTGCCACGGAAGTCTCCAGACACTTGTTGACAGTTGTCACCATCGCAAGCCTCTGCCCCACACGCCTGCAGAACTGATGCCAGGTACTTGTTGCAAACAGCATCACTGAGGCAAACTCTCATCCGGTCAAAGCAGGACCCAGATCCGATATATTCTATTAAAAAAGTCAAAGTCAAGGAAAAGTCAATAAATAGAATTAACTTCACCTCAATATGGAAGACAAAAGGAATGATTTCACTCACAGATAAACATTCAGATACAGTAAGTAATGTGCATTACAGCAATCTAACTGGTAAATTTAAAAAAACAATCAAGCTCAGACAGAAAAGGAGCATACCACAGGGGCATGATATTTTTGCAAGCACTGATGGGATAGCGCCCTCCTTCTGTGCTGAAGTGTGTTCAGCCCTGAAAAAATTAGGCATTTTCAACCCTGGATACAAAGGATTTCTGCGTGTCCACTGTCCTTGGGTGTTGCTATAGAGATTGCCATGGATTTAGGACTAAAATAATTATACACTTTTAGACTTGGATGAAAATAACTCTAGAAAAGGAGCAGTGACAAGCTCCTGATAAATCTGACGAAACTGCCATTAATTGTACAGAGATGTCATTAGAAAATAAATGGAATTTCATACACATATATTCTGTATTCTAACTGCCAAGACTGGCCTTCCACAAATAATAAAATCATTGATATATAATGTGAGTAACTGTTGTTTCCTTAAATCTTCTCGCATCGATCACTTGTTGAATTTCTTCATTTGAATAAAATAGAACTAATTATATTTATAATTATAGAATATAACTAAAACTGTAAACAGATTAATTTTGTTGATTTAATGCTCAATTTTTTAATTTATTTCCACCCAAAGAATATCGACTTTTCTGCATTTTTAATTTCTATACCAACTTTTGGACGTGTGGGTTTTGTTAATACTTGAATACCATAGCTTATTAAACTGCTGGAACTCCAGTCCATGACTGTTCTCCTCTTCTTCCGGGTTCCTGTACAAAAAACAAAAAAGCAAATTACATTAATGTTAATGGTGTGTGTTAATAAAGGTCAGTCTGCAGCATTTTTATAAAGTCCACAAACACACTGTTCTCGTTCTAAGTCACTAATGCAAATGACAAACACAGCTGCACCTGTTCTTCTGAGGCATTGTGTGGCCAAGGCTTGTATAGACTCACACAGCTCCTCCTCCTGCCCAGCACACACACACCTCTGCAGGGTAGGATATTGGTCCAGTACGGTCTGGACGGTCAGGTTACAGAGCCCTGAGCCTTTTATTTGGCATTCTTCTCCTAACAATGACACAGACAGAAGAGGAAGGCAGAAAAGCAGGGTTTTCCACAGGCGAGCAAGGCTGTGTTTGTGCGACAGGTGTACCCTGTACGGTACTTACTGGAACTGTTTTCTAAAACTGAGTTGCATGTGTGGATGAAAACAGATCAAATATCACAACAGTAGAATCAAATGTAAGAGGAGACGTCTAGGAGGTAGGTGTGAGCCTCTTTATTATCATTATCTCCCGGGACACACACAACTCGCTCCAAGCTACAGCCTCTCTTATCACATTTGAGCTGTGCTCCAACAGGTGCAATTCGATTACACAGCTCCATGGTGCAAGCTTCCCGTCCACATGCAATCATTTCCCCTGTATATGGATGTTTTCATACCCCGAGGAAGAACAAGTTCCACGGACGTGTGTCATTGTTACCGTTTGGCCTCTCGTGATTAAGTCTTGCTTCTTCATTCTTGCATAGATTAGAGATGAAGTTGTGAACGGCAGTCGAACACTCAGAGTTTGGAAGGCTGAGGCCGGACATTAGAGGAAGGACGATCCCTGAAAGGCAGCAGAGGAGTGGCTTTACAACTGAGAATACATAAAAAATGACGAGAGAGAAGAGAAGAGAAGATAAAAATAAAGATAGAATGTGATGAGATGATATTGGATAAATGGAGTTGAAATCAAATTCACCTGTTCAAAAAACTACAGCATATTAAATAAAACATAGTCCTAATAATAAATTATTTAATTATAAAATGAAGTAATATGTTTTTTAAAAAAATTTAAATATTTAAAGATTTTGAATGAAACTTGGTGATGTAGTTTTTTAAAAAAGAAAACAATTGTTTTAAATTTTATTTTATTTTATTTTATTTTGTAAAGCCCTGAATTCACAAAACACAATTAACTTTTCACAGTTTTAAAATATAAATTACAAATAAACTGCTCTAGAAACCCTCATAAGAGGTAAAAAGTGGAGGAGGAAGTGAAATACAGTCAACTTGTACTGCAAAGTTGACTGTATTTGAATATTTGAATTTGCATGGATGTCCTTGACCAACTACACAGATGTGCTATAAGTTTACAAACAAACACACAAGAAACAAAAAAAACAACTCACCAAGGATGGCTGCAGCCTGCAGCTGTGTCAGAGTCATCATGCTGCAGTTGTTGTCAGCTGTCAGTGGAGTCTGAAGCCTGGCTGATCACTGAGCTGATCTGATCTCTGCCTGTCTGTCTCAGTGTCACTCTCTGCAGCAGTGTCCGTGCATGTGAGCTGGGATTCCCACCACCCACCGCCCATCATTAGGATATGACACGGGACAGATGAGGACGATGTAATGAAGTCAGGTGTGTGGACGTCACAGAGAGAACACACCTAAGAAGATCAACAATGTCGGTGCGCTTTTACTCTGTGTGTTTGAAAAGATGAATAAATGAAATTCATCTATGGAGGCGTCCACCTATCATATGAAATCACAGCTTTGAATTAGGACGTGTAAGCTGCTCTGTGTCAACTCATGTTTCATTTTATGCGTGTGTGTGTTTGCATTCGCTCATGTTTCATTTTATGCGTGTGTGTGTGTTTGCATTGGATTATGAGCTTGACCTTAAATCTTAGTATATATATGTATATATATATCTATATATATACACACACACACTTTATATATACATATATACTGTATATATACTATATAAACAAATATATACTGTATATATTTGTATATATATTTATATGTGAAATGTTAGGTTAATTTTACTACTGTGAATTCTGAATATATATATATACATATATACTGTATATATTTGTGAAATGTTAGGTTCATTTTACTACTGTGAATTCTGATTATATATATATATACATATATACTGTATATATATATTTATATATACTCTCTCTATATTATAAATCATATACTGATATATACATATATACATAAATATATATATTTTAGAACTCAAAGTGTATGCTAGCGTTCTGCATTCCACTTTATCCATCCAGTCACAATACTCCTCACATATTGTAAGTGTCAACTTAATTGTTATGGGGTCGACAGGCAGAGCAGCATTCTGCAGAACATGTCGTCTAATCCAATTAATTATAGCTCAATTAATATTGTGTAAGATTAAAATGCTCAAATAAATGCGTATGCATGAGTAACATGTTGATTACATTATGTCAAAATCGTGTGATGGATGTCAGTCAACACTAATTGTCTCTGATAGGGAATAATGTCCAAGTCAGTTTAATTCAATTATGCTTCAAGCAGAAACAAGAGCAGCAGTGAACGCCAGCGCACGGTGGAAAAAACATTACATCGAAAAAACACAGAGGGAGGAATGCCATAAAGTGCACGTCAATATAAAACAAGTCTAAAACACCTTTACATTTAACACAATACATTAGAAATAACCACCAAATAAAAGCAGTACTTCATGTAGGTTGAATGGCTACACAAAAGTAGTACAAACACAGAGTAGCTTAGAATAAAACTACTTTTATCGCAGAAGGATGAATTACTTCTTATTCACGTGTTTTTTCTCTTTGATAGTTTTTCTTTATGTGCAATATTTACATCAGTAAGAAAAAAATGACACATTCAAGACCCAAGTGAGTCCAAATACTGAAAGTACTTAATCCAAGTACTGAATGTAGCCGTACCCTGATGTTGATAGTAAACATGTAAAAGTACTGAATGTAGCCGTACCCTGATGATAGTAAACATGTAGTACATTTATTCACCTTGACATTTACTTACTCTTATTAGAAAAAAAGTAAATGATGTTAAGGTCAACATTGTAAACCTTTGAATGCAGATAATTATTATATATTTTTATATTAAATAAATTATATTGAATGCTGGTGGAATTACTGTTTATCTAGATTATAAACAGAACTCATCCTTGGATTTTTAGTTTAACTTATTCATTCATTCGTCTTAAAACTAAGTGCAGGTTTAATGCACTAACAGTGTGTAGTACGGCACCAGACACACACACACGCCGTCCTATTGTAAACAGATGAGTGATTGCACCAGGTACTGTATGTAGACCATAAAATCCTACCTCATCCACAATTTGAAAAAAAAAGTTTAGTAACAATTTCTATAAAACCTTTTTTTTCCGCAGACAGTTCAACTGCTCTTGTAGCATTTTGATTTGATTGTAGATGTAGCTGAAGAAGCCGGCAGCACTTGCTTCATTCAGAGACAATGGTCGCCACCGTACTGCACAGGATCATGGCTGTCTGATGAACTATTGTTTTCTTTAATAGTTTTTCTTTCTTCTGCTGACCTGTGGCCCATATTACAGAGGCTGTTCCATTTTGTTTTGTCCGTTTACTATTTAAAAAGTATACTTTACAATCACAGAACCACAGCTGCAGTAATGTTAACTGCTGCTGTTATGTCCCATATTTGTGCCGCGTTAGATTGGTTTTATGTAGTCGCTGTTGGACAGTGGTTGTCGCAGGCACGGCGAAGATGAAATTGTTTTATGAAAGGCAAGATGCATAAAGTGATGAAAGCTTGTGACAGAAGATTACAGTTGAATGAAGACGTTGTTATATTGGTGTTTAAAAAAAACAAAACAGAGTTTGATATTTTTGTAAAGAAAAGTGGGAAACTGGAAATTGAACGGTTACCCACACACTGAGGGGGGATTGAAGGGCTCTCAGTTTAAACAGAACAGAGCTAATTTATTTGAAAAATAAATTAGCTTTGCTTCTTCCAAAAGAAAAACATCAGGTGGATAGCTGTCATGTGTAGACTGCATCCTTTGTTATCATGTGTTTACTATAAACTCTTCAGACAGACTCATTAATATTCATCAACAACCGACAGTTGGGGTTTTCACTCTCTGTATTTTTACTGTCCTGATAGAATGAATATATTCAAGGACAAAAGCGTATTTATTCAGTGGTCTCAGACAGAGGGGCTCAGGAGGCTTGGACTTTCATTTGAACAACACAGATCGCCCATCACACAGAGTCCAGACCTTGGGCTCAGCTAAAGGAATAAGAAAACAAAAATGGAGGTTGTTTTTTTTCTCTCACAATGTAAAGCTGAAACAGAAGAAAAGGGAATAAATTCTGAGGATTTTCTGAGAAATGTTGCATGTTTGTGGTCTTGAGGCGGAGACCTAACCATCTGAAATGCACATATTCATTCATGCATGAAAATTAACACCCAAATCTGAAGACTGGCATTTGGTTAATGGGAAAATCATTTTCTTTAGCACCTGCTCCCTGTTCAACTCATAGCAAGTAATACTGACTCTGAACTAATACACTAATCTGTATATGGTATAAAGTTATACTCACAAAACTTCTGATACTTCTGAGAAACAATCACGTGCAACAACGATCTCCACTTAACTGTGGAAATTACTGAAATAAAAATAAATGTACAAATTACATTCTTAAATTCTTAAATTAAGTCTTTTGATGTGGAAAACATTCCTATGATATCACTATATTTTATATATATATATATATACAACCTTTTCTCCCATTTTAAAACCAATTAAGACGGTTTTCTCCTTTCAAAAAAAGTGCTATTTGAACCTTCAAGTAAGATTTTAGTCACATTATAAAACTAGACTATTTGGTCTGAAATGCCTGAAACGCTGTCTATGTTGTTCACTTGGGTGGACAGTGATTTTCGACTGTCCGTGCTGGTTCTGGTCCTTATCCTCTGGGTTTGATTATGGCTTCGGCGAAGACAACAGCAAGAAAATGCTGCTTTGAACTCCCCACGGAATTTTCCTGAGCAAATAAAATGATAATAATAATAATCAGTTTAAAAATCAGTTTAAGTTGCTAATAAATACTTCCAAGTATTTATTAGCAGCTGTTTTGCACATGTAAATGTCACCTTTTTTTTTCAAAAACAGCATTGTCATGAACATTTGTCCAAAAAGTTATATTTTAGTTTTTTAGTACTGTATTTCACATTTTATGCAGTAATATTTTATATATTCAGTAATAAATAATGTTTTTATCTTCATTCTATGAATTTTAAACACGAGTTGAATGTACGATTGTTAATACACGAAACATTTGATTAAAAAATCGCCCGCATTTATATTTTATAGTCGAATTGTTGTTGCAAAGTTGTCCACTAGAGGGCATTGATTGACTCATTTAATTCAAATCAAGAAAATGTTATTTTTATGGCAAGTGCACGAAATATTTTGTACCAATAGGCTCAAATTTGTTTTATTAAATTTTTTAATTGATTTTTTTATTAACAAGAAAAGAAAAGATAGATCATAATACATTATTATTATTATTGTTGTTGTTATTATTATTATTATTATTATTATTATTATTATTATTATTATTATTATTATTATTATTATTATTATTATTATTATTATTATTATTATTATTATTATTATTAAATAGGAACAGGTAACAATTATCCAACTGACTTAACAAACTCACCACTGAGAAAGTTGTAGATAATGGGATTTGCTGCACTGTTGGCATAAATCAGCCAGTGTGAGAACGTGAACCAGGCGTACACTGTTTCTCTGTCGTTTGTGTTCTTGAACGTCCCAAAGACTCTGGGTGTGAAACAGAATAATGGTAAAGTGAAATAAAAACGAATTACAGTATGTCCAGGAACGGAACCAAAGACATTTACCTTTTCATGACATTGAGAACGCTGATAGGCAGGTAACACAGAGCAAACACAAAGAGCACCACCATCAGCATTCGAGCAGTTTTACGCCTGGCTCTGACTTGCTTGATCTCAGCACAAACGGTGCTGGTTCTGACTCTGACGGACTCCCCTGAGCCCAACGTCGGACCCGAGCACTGGAAGGACTTCCACTTCCTCTGCATCACTGAAGAGCTTCCAGGAATCTGTTGGTGAAACGTGCACATGAAGATCAGATGTTTTTAACACTGCGTCGTTCATAAAGGTTAACAATACATTAAACAGGAAGTTGGAAAAAAAGAAATCACACCTGCTGACACCAAAGCTTGTGACAGATCTGGATGTACGCCAGGACCATGAGACAAAGTGGAGCGAAGTAGGTGACAATGAAGAAGCAGGTGTGGTAAACCTTTGGGTAGACCTCAGCTGTTGAATCAAAAAATACAGAATTTTTATATTGACATCCTAGAACATATGTGTCAAACTCAAGACCCGGGTTTTTTTGTTTTTTTTTTTTATTACACAGCAATGAACAATATTTGTAAAGAAAGTAAATGGATATGACTTCATTCTCTTTGAATAAAGTAAATTAGTAAAAATCATGGAAATGTGTTTGACCACCCTGTCCTAGAACATTTATAGGGATGACTATGACGATGTGTCTAAGCTGTACAGAAGCATACAGTATTCTAACAAATAATAAAAATAAATAAATAAATAAACACAACAGTGATTCTCAAAATATGGTCCACATTACACTAATGCTACTTGGGCTCCATCTAATGGCACACAGGGGGAATATGGGACTTTTCTGCAGGTGCTCTCTTCAGAGTTGACTTTAAGTGCCACTTGTTGATATTTCTGAGTGCACAGTGTGGCCTTGGCCTCATAAAAGAGGCTAAGATTAGAAATAAATTCTGTTTTTCTACTCCGTGTTTACTGTAGCTGAGCACTGCTGCTCCATTTTAATATCAGTCATGGTGACAGTACTCGGAAAGGGGAATACTTTCCCAGGTGGTACGGGCTGATAAAAGTTTGAAGTGAAAAGTGAAACAAATGAATATACTGCAGAAAACACAGGGCTGTAAAATGAGGCACAAATGTTTCTATCAACCTGGACAAATCAAACAGCTGAGCTCATTTAACCACACTGTTAATCTTCATTTGTATTTTATTACTGGGAAAACTGCAGAGGGTTCAATTAGTATTTAAACACCTGCACTGAACACATTAGGTCTGGGGTTGAAAATATTCAACACACAAGGTGAAGTTTGTAAAAAGCAAAGCTCATTTTCTAACTAAGGCTTTCCCCCAAATGATGCCTGGTCAGAATTTGCTGTGCACCGACTAATAAGCAGACACATTCCTTCATATTTATTTTTTCCCAGCAAATTATGTTGTACATCACAAAACAAAATCAGATAAATAATTGTACCAAACAATTAGCTGTAGATTTTCTTTTGTTCAAAAAGACGTTACTTTATTACTGTCACAACACTGTCATGAATTATAGCAAAAGACACAGCAGTTGTGAAGCAGCGTTTCTTTTTAATACCCAGAGGGTTTTTTTCACCCCTACTTAACGAGGCAGCTTCTATGCTGCCAATTATCTGGTTAATTGGAAGAAGAAAAAGAAATGCTTTTTGCATCTATCCTAACTTTTAAAATTGAATACTGGGAAAACAAATAATTGATTTATCTGCACATGTAAAAAATGTCAACTCCAGCAAACACTCACTGTAACCAAGAGCAGGACATCTGATTAGGAGCCAGGCTGCAGGTTGGCCTGTGAGTGTCTGGACCTACACTGCTTTATGGTCTAATTTACTTTCAATTGGATCTGTTTCTACAATAGACAATCGTACTAGGCAAAAAAATTAGAAAATGAAGTGAGATTTTTTTTCTCATATTGTAGCAGTTGCGCTCACGCAATGCACCCTCAACACCTGTTGCCTAGTAACCACTGCCGTAAAGTGAAATTTTTCAGCCCCTGTACTGCGTATATATATATATATATATATATTTTTTCTCCGCCTTATTTTTAACCTTGTGTCTGTATCGACTCCAGCAAACACCAACTGGCGGACCATTATCAATTGTGACACTCTGTGGTTAGACTGTTGCCACTAGGAACAATGTGCACTTTGCTCATAAGAATCATTAAAATCAATGCAAAGGTGATGAAGACTATTTAGAATCACACGGTGCTCCTGTGTACACAGAGGCTTTCTGCAGATGAGTGGCTGTGATTTCGCCGAATCAATGTGACCGTGTAATTATGGGGTCTCATTGAGCTGTGGACCGTCTCTAAGCTTTTTGACATGGCAGATGGAGAAGATCTTAAGTGTCTGGCTCTTTAGATAAAACTGTTTAAATTGGAAAAAAAGAGCTAAAAATAACCAGGTTCACGTTGAGGAATGTCTTTTTTTTAAGGTTTTGAGTTAAGTGTCATTGCAGTCAGAGCTATGAGAAGACTTCTGTCTAACTGTTTTGTAGGATTTAAATATTACATTTGTGAGTTATTCAGGAAACAGTATAATGCTTTGATGTGTTTGGCCCTTTAGAGGTGGGGTCTCAAACTCAAATGACCTGAGGGTCACATAATTTCATTGGAGGGTAAAATTAGTGTTTGATTAACGCAAAAAAAACCCAGACCTAAAGGGCCAAATTACATTATTATTGATATCCAGTGACGGTGTTCTGGCAGTGTAGTTATTTTACATGAATGCAACATGAGGTGGCATTCATGTTCCCTGTCTTTTATATATCCATATAACACTAACATGATCAGATCTATTGTTCTACTGGATTGTGAGAACGGTGAACTACTGTTGAAATGCAGGCAGCAACAGGTAGGAGCTGTAACTGATGGAGAACGGAAGGAATTAGAACCGGCTTTATAAAGCACATTCATGCTGCTGCTGCTGCTGCTGCTGCTGCTGCTGCTGCTGCCCAGGCTCTGCTCTGGTCAATACTCAGTCTTCACATTTCATCTGGTCCTCCATCCTTCATCATTACCACCATTGTCTGGACTCCAGGGGGATTTAACCTCCTGCAGCCCACACCACATGTTTCTTAAGGCAGAGATCAATACACTGCACCATAAGTGCAGCCTACAGAAAGAAGTGTCTCAGGGCTTTCCCTGGAACTTTAGATCAATGTTCCCACATTTTTGGGGCTAAAAAGTTTTGCACACTGAATGAACAACTGAACGATCAATGCTCACTGAAGCGTTACATCTCTCCTGAGAAGCTCAACAAATACGACCAAAGGTTCAGCCTTTAAATTTAATTTGTGCAGCTAAATGACAGTTATATATATGTATATATATACAGTATATGAACACCAACCTCCCCAGTGCTCATCGCACACTGTGAACAGACGAGTCTTGTTTGTAAGTTCAGGCAGTAAACTGCTGCACTCCATCACCACAGCCTGTGGAATCATGATGACGCATGACACCAGCCAGATGAAAACGATACTCCGGCGCGCTCTCTTGGCCGTGCTCTTGAACATCAGTGGGTGGCAGATCGCATACCAGCGATCCTGGGCGATGCAGCTCAGTGTCAGCACTGACACGGAGACTGAGATTGTCTGTGGAGAGAGTGGAAAAATAAAGAAAGACAAAGACAAAAAGTGACCAAAAATCTTAGTATTTACATAAACTCCAAGTCATTATGCAGAAAGGTGTACAACAGTGAAGGAAACGGCGATTGAATACAGAAGTACCAGAAACTTAACTTAGCTAAGCTTAGTGTTATAGATAGAAAAAAGGTGGTATTTTTCCACACAATGAAGAGGTGTAAATAACACTTCCTTTGTAAAATTTGGATCAGTCTACAGTAAAGTCCAGATTGTTGTTTTTTGTATGAAAGCAGGACACAATACGTGGTAAGGTATAAAACCAAGTAAAATAAATGGTTCTATAGTAACAGTTAGGCAACACAGTCTATTCTGCTACTGTAGATTAAAGCAATACCTCAAATTGTGTATTTGTAACTGTGGGTGAAATAATTGTTCATTATCTTTTTTTGCTTGTTGTAACGTGTTTATAGCACCCCCTCCAGGCAAGGGAGAGCCCACTATAAAATCTCTGTTTAAACAGGAGCACACATGGCTTAATGCTTTGACAGCAGCAATATATATACATTTAAATTAAACCATCTTTTTGAACACACAGCACCATCAGCTTTTTTTCCCTTTTTCTTTTCAGATGTGATGTTTTTTTAGCAGCTTTAATTAAAGTCAAGAGTAAAAAAAGGTAAAAACCTGTCTCTGAAAGACATATCTGGGCAGACACTGTGAATGGAAATGTGTTATCAAAACATAATTACTCATCTTGTGTCTGAGTGCACGCGTGTTCACCACATTCAAATGGAGCTCACGGTGCAAGGCTGAGCCGTGGAGGAGGTCAAGCACAGATTGAGTTAGTCCGGCGTATGACGGTGATAGTGGTTCTAATGGCAAATCCTCTGTGATCTACAAGCACCGCCAAGTCCTGGGTACGACCTAGTCTGAGTGCATAACATCACGGTGAGGAAGGCAACAACCTCCTCCGCCATGTCACCTTGACCCAGGTCAACTGTCTGTGTCTCATTTTCATCAAGGAATCACAAAGCTGATTAGCATTAGCTCGATTTATAAATCATACTGTTCCATACATTTACACCTGTTCTCCTTTCTTTGTTTCTTTCTTTCTTCCTTTTTTTCTCTTGCTTTCTTGCTTTTCAACCTCACCGCCAACATTTCAAATGTGGTTCCTCACACCAACACATGCTTCATGTCTTTTCCTCAGGGAAATAAACACATGACTCCACTGCTTTAGAATGTCCAGGTTAAGCAGCCCCACGGTGTGTGTTTGCTGAACGATGTCCTTCATTTAAAAGGACTAAGTAGGGGTGAGGAAGTTGTGGGGGAGGGGAAGGTAATCCCCCTGTATGTAGAAAAGGGGCAGTGAAGGGGATTTATTGTCATTGTGACATGGCACACAACTAAATTAGCCCTTTAACCCATCGCCTTAGTCAGCAGGGGGCAGCTCAAGCTGAGCCCCAGGGAGCCCCTGTGTGGGGATGGTGCCATGCTCAGTGCATCTCAGTGGAACCTGGTGGCTGGTGGATTTGAATCTGCGACCTTCCAGGCCTCTTTCTTAACACAAACTGCCCTGAATGTTATTTGTTCCATGCCCTCACATCTTTCCCTGCACCTGGTCTGGGTACTGAACCCTGGCCCACAGTTTCCCAATCTGTGTCACCTTCCCCTGAGCCAACCAGCTACTGCAACTGCCCAAAGAAAATCAATGGCAGATTGACAGCTCTTTTCTTTTCTTTTCAGCAGAGTGTTGATGTGCAGGTCTCCAGTATTTTTTAGAAACCACAGCGCTTATGTGACTAAATCTACTGCCACTAACATACAGTATAAGATGCTTCTTTACGTATGAATCTAGCATTTTTTCCCCCTCATGATTGTTTAGGTAGATGCCTCCATGAAGTCAAGGCCCAGGTTTTATTTACCATCAATCCATCTTTGTTACTGCTGTAATTAATCATTCTACAGCCCTGTTGTATGAACCACTCCATAACTCAGACTGGGGCTCAGTTCTATATTTATGTTTTCAAACCAAATCTGTCATTTTACTGACACTCTAGGCTTTTTGACAGCGATTGATATATATAACAGTGGCTAACCTTTGGGCTGTTGAGGTGAACGCATGTGTTGACTGGGTAACAGAAAAAACCCCAAAATGAAATAAATTCATTTTAAGGAAGCAGAGAAGGTGTTAGTAGTTTACAAAGGTGGAATGAAATCAGTTAACAGCTGCAGAATGATTCAAACTTTTAAGCAGAGCAGGTTTGTGTTTGTGCTCCATTCTCTGCTCTGTCTGTATTCAGGGAGCTGCAGTGCGGGAGCTTCTCTAGTATAAATCCATCACAGGCAAATGTCACAGTAAAGCCTTGATTATCAATAAGCAGGAAGTGGAGTTCTCATCCGATCTGTAAACTACCGCAACTCTTTATTTGACAACATAATATACCAATGATACGACGTTACACGATGTTAGATTCTCAAGTGCAGAGTGTGAATTGAATGAATGTAATGAAAGATTAAAGCACAAATTCAAACGTATTATGGTATGTTTTCTTGACTGATTTCAGCCTCCAGTCTTTGTCTGTTGTTTCTGACCTTTTGCCCATGAGAGGACAACAGAGGGATAACTTAAAGATGCACTTTTTAACTTTGTGTTTAAAAAAAAGGGGACGGCTTTTGTTGAACGTGCTGTTCAAAGAGAACAGCCCCGCAGCTCAGGGCATAAAGGTCAAGTTAAGGGGCGGCACCTGGACCTGTCGTGGTGTGAGGAGCCGCTGGGCGAGTTCCAAAACAAAACTCTTTTTTTCTTTCTGGTGGCCAAACTTCTGCATGAGTCATGGAATTCAATTTATCTTAAACAAATAATGTGTTGCCGTCACACGCACTGCACACAACAGTGCCTCCTGCAGAGCAGGGGGAAGAGCTACATACAGTGCAGTGTGTACCATCAACAAAAGTGAACTACTGTAGTGGATTTCCATCTGTTTGTTGTCTTTTACTCATCAGTCTGACTTAGTTTTATTTATTTAAATTAATTCTGTGAAAACAACCACCCATAGCAATAAAGACGCTGCTGCGTACAAGTAGCAGTGGGAAAGGGACATCGCAATTAAAGTTATAAAAAATTATTTTAATGAGTGAGATGGATGTTTATTAACCAGATTTTCAACATCTGAGAAAATCACTACAAAACTGTAACACACACACACTCAGAGGAGTGCATTTCTTTATAACATACGTATTTTCACACTGACGTGTTTACACCATAGTTATACGTTACGTGTGTGTGTGGTTCACTGAGCAGAGAATCAAGGATTTTCAGGATAGTGATGAACATCAGTTCACATTCAGAACCTAAAAGAAAATACAGCGTACAGTTCCCCAAGGTGTTATATAAGCTGCCTTAACAGGGTTGTTCACGGCATGCCTATCATTGAAGAAAGGAATATAAATGTGAATTACAGAAACAGGGTTCTGGTCCCGTATACATTAACCTTTCACAAGTTGGAGAGGAAATCTGGATTTGGGAAACATCTGTACATGCTGTCAGTGATGAGCTGTTACCTGGAGATAAGGCACCACTTTGCACAGAGTCTTTCCAAAGAACCAGGTCTCGGTAATGTCCACGACCAGACTAGCAGGCAGGCAGATGATGGTGACCAGGACGTCAGCAAAGGACAGATTCACTATGAAATAATTTGTCACTGTGCGCATGTGACGGTTCTTCCACACTGCAAAACAAACTGGACATAAAGGAGTCACATTAGAGACATCATCAACGTACTTCACAAGATCCTACATTTCCTTACATTACAGCAGTCGGAAATTACAAGCTTTCTTCTTCTGGGAAAAAAAGAAAAATCTGTTTCTACACTTAAGTTTCTGAACGATTCCCCCCGGCAGCTTGTTTTTGTGCTGCCCTTTATGAGCGCTGTGCCTGGTTCTCTGCAGCCTTTGTGATGAGTCTGTTATCGGAATCTGAAATGTGGAAAATGGTGAATGCTTAAAAAATGTGCAATGTTTTGTAACCCTCTCATCTACACCTGCACATGAAGTAGTGACATAAGACGTGAAGGAGCATCTCACGTTCACGTTCACTGAATTGTGGCTGAATTGTGGCTAGTGTAGCATAGTGTAGAACCAGCGCTTCAGAAATAGACCATTGTAATTCCTGTGACTGAAAAAAACTGACACCTGAAAGTCTCGATTTATATAAGGTAACATTTAACGTTCAAAATAGATTGTAGTTTGTAGTGTTTGTCGAAGCTTTTCTACACCAGGTTTACAGCAGATACTGCAGTACAATACTTTGGACCTTTGACCTTTTGGTCATTATAAATGCTTCAATATAAAAAAAAGTAAAAAACAAAACAAAAATGAGAGCAAATGTTAATGAACAGAAGGCAATTTTAAGTAATTAATTTATTATTAGGTCAGTAAGTAATTTATTCACCAAAGTCATTAATGAAGGGAGTGTCTTTTAAACTTACATTTTCTAACACAAATGCACACACACACACACACAGGTGGGCAACGGAAATAAATGCTAACGTGTGATGTGACATTTGCTCAGAAGGTGAAATCCGTTCCCTCAACCTTTACATGGAACAGTTAGGTATTATATATATGAAAGACTAAGTGAAAAAAAATAACTGTGGTTCCCAGGAGGTCTAGTGGACAACAGTCTGTAAAGTATCACTCCCTCTACAGTACATGTGGAGACGGTGCACTCGCTCCCCAGATGCAGTGAGATCAATCACCCTCACAATCCAAGTGACATTTAATCCCTGTTGTAATTGGAAAAAAGCTTGTTTTGTTATTGAGTGGGCGCTGCACCAGAAATGCACGCGGGTGAGTCACAAAGTTCTAAGATGGACGTAGCAATTTCAAAAGTCTTGAAAATGTTTTAAAAGAAATGCAAGCTGTTAAGACCCGAGTGTCTCCAATCGTTTTATCGATGTGTTACCAAACCTGAATGGAAACCAGTGAACATGTTTTTTTTTTTTTTTTTTTGCTTTAAAGGACCTTGATTTCAGTTTGTAGCGGACACAAAGAAACAGGTTGTGCCCTGGTGTGAAAGACATCCTCTGAATTCCACAAAGAAGGAATTCTCCAATGGGAACCCCGCTGGTTCCAGCTCTGTTTAGACTAGAGTAGTGGAAATGCACAGACACAGGTTTGTCACTTCTGTAAAAGAAGTTTCATAATGGAGAAGGTAAACAAAATAATAACACGGAGCCTGTGTTGGTAGAGACGGTCAGACGGAAATTGAAGTTAAAAAATAAAAGGTTTTGCAGTAAAACTTATTTTAATGTCTAAAATTGAGCACAACTATTTTTTTATTGTTCAACTAACATAAAAGCACATCTCACAGTAAACTCTAAATGTCAAACTCAAAAACAAATCAAAAATACTGAAAGAACAACGTTTTTCTTGTGTGCACTTGTCTCAAAACATTACTTTGCAGACAACATCAAAACCTGCTGAATCATCACTTCAAGACACACAAGAATTACCTCTCAAATGTACATATGAATATATGCATACGTACATATATATATGTGTATATGTATATACATATATTTGTGAAAATGGCCTAAAACAGATGGTGATCCAGGTTGACTGTTATTCACACAGATGTCATGTTCATACAGCTTCTCCTCCCACTTCTATATTTCATGTCAGTTCATGTGCTGAGGTTTGTTGAGGTTCAGTGTAAATGTCATGTTAGACATAGACACTCACACACGCACGCGCTCCAGTTTGGACTGGATATCGGTACGGAATGTATAAGGGCGGGTTCTCGGCTTCTCGGAATTCTGTTCCTATGGCTCAACATGAATTGATTTCCGCTGTAAGTCAGAACTCACATACTATACATAGGTACTTTGTCACTCGCAGACCTTGTGGTAGCTCTCAGTTTCCATGACTTCAGACATCTAGCTTTCTTTTGTTTCTGCTTTTATTTTCAAGAATATTTGTCAAATGCTTAGAAAGGAATTAGACACATTTAAAAAAACCGTCACAGGAGGGTTGAACTAACGATGGATGTGGATGGATGTTTACCTGTATTTATTATTTCAACAAATTTTACTGATTTTAACACATCTAAAGGCAACATTGGACAGAAAACCCAGAGTGTCACCAAAGCTGAAGACAATGTTGGTAATGACCCGGAAAACATTTGCATATTTAGTTGTCATGTTTTTCCTCCTCAGACAATGTCATTATCTGGTATATTCATAATGAAGTCATCGTCAAAGGCTGTATCCAAATATGGTCATAAAAACCCACCGGAAGCAAATTGTCTCTTCTTTGTTCCATGATTTGTGGCTTTGAAGCACAAGGAGCTGATATTTAAACGCTAGGTATATTGACTGTCATCTAAAGGGGACAATTATGACACCATCACATCACTGTTGTCTAAAATGTGACCTTGCTGGTGAAAGCAAATGC